TAACTTATACACTTTTCCAGGGGGGGCATTTGTACCTTTGGGTGGTTTCAGATAGATGTTATGTTCCAGTCTTGCATTGATGTATGCTTGTTTTACATCTATGGAAACCAGTTCCCAATCGAGCTTAGCTACTAATATGAGTACTGTTCAAATTGCATCCCTAGGTACCACTGGAGCAAAGATCTCTGTGTAGTCCAAGCCCTCTCTCTGTGAAAACCCTAGAGCACAAAGTCTTGCCTTGAACTTGTATGGCACCCCATTTGCATCTGTCTTGACATTGAGTACTAATTTCAAATCGATGAGGTGTGCTTTTGGTGGCATGTCAACTACTTCCCAGACATGCATGCTTTCAAGGCCTTCCAGCTCAGCACAGATTGCTTCATGCCAGTGGGATTGGTCTGGTCTGGTGAGTGCCTCTTTTACTGTTGGTTTAAGGTTTACAATGCTAGCCATGTTCACACTCATTTTGTGATGTGCAGTGTGTGGTGGTCCTGATATCTTTCCTTGATGGCAAAGTTTCTGTTGGAACTGATACAATTCACCTGGTGGAGGTGAGTGTGATTGGTAGATCTTTCAGGCTGCCATAACTGTCATCAGATGGGCCCATGGATGCACTTGCTGGGTCATATGGAGACTATTGCTATTTCCCGTTTTTGTTGGTGCTGCAGTCATTATGAGAGCATGTTGATTTTCCTGGGTTGTTTGATCACTTTCATTATCTGGTTGAAGTATGTCTTCAATTGGTCCTTGTTGTTCCTCATCATGGATGTCATGCTCAGTATAACCCATGTCTTCAATATCCTCCATGTGGTATTCAGGATCCATGTCATGACCTGGTATCACCTCTGTACAATCCTCCCATGATTTACTCTCCAGGAATTTAGCTGCATTAGACCAAAAAACTGTTGGATTGTGCTTTGGGGATATGAACTTCCACCCCTTGTGTTCTTCATCATATCTGATGAAGATGGCAGGTATAGCAGGGTCATCAAGCTTCTTCCTTTTCATCTTAGGCACATGTACCCAGGCAAGGCATCCAAAAGTGCAAAGCAAAGTGTCAGCGGTCGCATGCCTGAAACCTGAGATCTGTAGTAGTGTCAATACTATTACCGATCCTGTCGAGTTATGTGACAACACTAGTGGTATTGCGATTCTTGGTGAAATATGTGATAGAGCCATCTCTATCACTTTTCTTGCTCGAATCTGTAGTTGTAGTAATGCTATTGCAGATTTCGACTAACCACTGTGGACACTCCATCCAGAGGTAGCCTGGCATGATCAATAACAATGTGAACTTGTGATGACACCAAGGTCTGGTGTGAGTATGAGTACTGGTGGTGTCAACATGAGTGTCCAGTGTGTCAACTAACACTTGAGGTGATCCCCAGAAAACAGTGGATGACTGCCTTCAGTTCTATCTTAATCCGGACCACTGGTTTGCTAGGAACTGCCTTCAGACATCAGTGAGTGGTGATACAACACATGTGCTACAATGAGAAGTAACCTGTTGATTACTACTATGCTGACTGAAACTAATGTATACTTATGCTGAAGTGATAACTAGTTTATATGGTGTGTAGTGGATGGGGATCCACTCGACCACTTATGACAAGAGGGTATGCTTATATACATCCATTGTAGTGTCGCCTGTGACACTGCTCCAGCTCTCCCTCTCCAGAGAGTACCTTCTTCATTGAGTACTATACAGAAGTCCCTGTAGCACTGCTCCTAATCTTCCTGAGCTGTGTGCTGACTCCTTCGACACTGCTCCTCCTCCTCATGACCTGCTTGCTGGTGTCCTCGACACAGCTCTTCTTCCTTCAACCGGCGATGGTTCTCTTGACTCCTATCTTGTGACCCCTGAGTGGTAACTGTCTGCATGCTTCTGAGCTTGGTCCCCATCTTGGCAAAGCTCGGTCCTCCTCGCATGTGAGCTTGGTCCTCTTTGCATGTGAATTTGTCAAAAGGACATCCTTGCCACTGATCTCCACAGAATCTGCCATACAATTGTGCTTACTGTGGATTCTGGCAGGATTCATGATATCAACTTTGCTTGTGCAGATCTCAATGAGATCTGTAATAGAACTGTCTCTACTACTGATCTCAGTGAATTCTGCTGCAAATCCTATGATCTGCCCAATTCCTTGATTCCTGCGCTCCCTTCATATGAGTTGACAGGTCTTCCTGCTTTCTGTGCATCCAGGCCCATGACAGCATGCTGAATGGTTTCTTGGGATCTCTATCATAGAATACATGATACAAAATGCAACCTTGGACATTTGGTATCAAGTTCTTTGTGAAAACCACCACTTCGACTGCAAATGGCCAGAAAGTCTGGGGTAGGCTATGAGATCACATCATTGCCATCATCATGTTTTTGATCATCCTTATTGTCCATTCTGCCTTTCCATTTTGCTTGCTGTTGTATGTTGATGTCTTCTGCCATCTAAACCCTGCATTGTTCTGCCATGCAATTGCATTTGCATTTATCCATTCTGTTCCGTTATCAGATTGGAGAGTCTTGAGTTTGTGTCCAGTTTGGGTTTCAGCATAGTTAATCCATTCTTTCAATACTTGTAGCACATTGGCCTTTGAGCATAGGGGCTTGGTGTATGTGAAACTGGATGTGTCATCCACTGCCACCAGTATAGAGGTGGATTCCATTTTTGTCAAAAAAAGTGTCACCAAGTCAACATGTATAAGCTCTAATGGGTGCTTGGCATGATCACCATGGCTTTGTCCCGTCTGTGCTTTTGTTGACTTGCTCACCATGCAATCTTGACATTCATATGGTTTGATCTTGATGTTGTATATGTTTGCTTTTGTTGACTTGCTCACCATGCAATCTTGACATTCATATGGTTTGATCTTGATGTTGTATATGTTTTCTAGTATTTGGCTTTTGTTGTGACCAGGGTGACCACATCATTTGTGGATGAAATCTCTGGTGAAACTTTGTGGTCTCAGTGGGTTGTCAATGTCAAGTCATTCCGGTAGGTCATTCATTTCATCATCTATTGTTGATATAAGAGCTTCTGGCTTTGTTGGGTGGATTTCCCACTGCCTCATACAGGTATTGGTATACCCTTTCACCTCATGACCATTGGGCCACTTAAGGTGTGCATTATCTAGGTTGAACATCACATGTACACTGTCAGTTGTTAGAGCTTGCACTGACATTAGATTTACACTTACTTCTGGAACATAAAGTACATTGTTAAGATATACTTTGTGTCTGTCAATGTTGACAATGGCTTGTCCTCTAGCCTTGATTCCAATTAGCATTCCACCAGTGGTTTTCATGAATCTGGTGCATGGAGATGAGGAAATGAGAATCATATTGTCATTTGTGATATGGTCAGTTGCCCCTGAATCTATGACCCATGTATTGGGTTGCTGTCTCAAAGGGGTGTGATATGCTGATGCAATGGTGCACCAGAATTCCTAGATGGGTGTTTGATTGTTCATCAACCTGGGGGTGGGATTGGTGTTGATCTTGGATTGGGATTTGCTGTTTGGGTTCTTAGGGCAGAAATGACTGATGTGGATTTCTCCCTGACAGTAATAGCATCTTTGACAACCATTGGGACCTGGTTTTCCCATGCTGTAGGCATCTTGATTTGTGATTTCCCCATTAGCAATGAAAGCTTGTGGGGTCTTGCCATCAGTCCTATGGCTTGGTTTCATAGCCATGTCATCTTGTTGTTTGAACAAAGCTGCACAAATTGCATTGTAGTCTGTTCCTCAGCCATTATCTTGCAGATTCATGATGCAAATATTGTATGCAGTCACAAGTCTCACCTGGTTGATGAGAGTTTTGATCTTGAGGACTCTTGTCAGATTGAAACCCATGGCTTCAGCCTTGGCCCAATGCTTGTTCAAGTCAGCAGAGAATTTATGAACATCCACATTAAACATACAGATCCTTCTGGCCTCCTAGAGGAGGGTTGATTCAGTGATGTGCTCCATCTTGGTGAGGTCCTTCTTGAGTCAAGCATATAATTCATGGGTCCTCCATGATTCAGTATTTGCAGGTCATATGAACAGATAGTTCACATTATCTTGACTGATGAGCTTTGCATTGCTCTGGATGATTGTACAGAGTTTTGCATCCAGTTTTCAGTCATACTTCTTATCACCCAGTTTGGTGGTGCTGTTGAGGTGCTTGAGGGCCAGGGACCATGAGGCCAATATGTCCCAGAAACAGGGGTTCCAGGCATACCAGTTCTTTGTGGTTAGTTTGGGGGTGTCCTTTAGTGTGTCATTGAGTTGGGTCACTTCATGGAGGAAACCACAGCATTTGGAAGGTAGCTTATATGATGAGGTCTTGGCTTGTTTGCATAGGGTAGATTGTGTGACAATGTTATGGAGGGTGTTGATATTCATTTTGTTGATGTCATTAAGATCAAGTAGGGGTTCATTTGGTTCACTGTCATTGCTGTTGGAGTTATCAGAGGAGTCAGTATCAGATTCAGTGGTTCTTTGATGTTCTGCAGGTACTGGAATTGTTTTGGCCTGATCATCAGAGGGGTCCTCAAGTGAGGGGTCTTTGGTGGGATGTGGATCATTTGGTTGCAAAGGCATGGTGTTGAGGATCATGTGGCAAGAGCAGTCAGACTCTTAATCACTTAAAAAGCATCATCAAGATCAATTGGAAGTGCATCAAAGTCAATGATCACAAGTGTTGATTGCAATGAGTAATACTATTCTAGGTACATGTTGAATCAGGTGCTTATATAAGTCTCAATCCTTCTCATGTGCATGTGTTATGCTAAGGGCCAATAAGGCAATGGCATGGGAGAGTGAGTGTGAGGTTGAGGAGGTAAACACCAGCTGCCTGGTGACTGGCATCTTGGGCTTCGACAGTCAGCCTGGACAACACAATTGGTCCAAGTGAGCGAAGTTGGTGATTTGGTGTGTGGGCTCGGCGAAGGTTGCATTTGCATGCATCAATCGCCGAGGTGTCACATGCTTCAACTTTTTGACGCAGGTTACGAGCCTCACGCTCGAACAGACGTATACCCATTCCGGCCAACACTTCTCCTCTTCGCACCATCATCACCGCCCAACAGTGCCTCTTCCAAGTCATCGACGTCTTCCCCTCTTCCTCTTCCCCCGCTCTCCTCCTCCTCTCCATACACCCCTCCCCTTCCACTAGCAACAGGTATGCTACTCGAATACAGCTCCACCCTCGCCCTCTCCCTATCCCTATACCCCTCGTAGCCCCTCTCTCTATCCCCATTTGCACCCTCTCCCTCCCCGCTCTGTTCATAGCCACCATACTTCAGCCGCACCCCATGATTATCCCTCTCGAATACATCATGCCTTACCACCCCTTGCAATCCTGTCAAAATTCTACAGATCTCTGACCTGCTATGCTCCGGTTCTTGTGCTTCTGACTCTGCGAACTCGTCTTCGTCGCTTTCGTAGCATGCGTCTCCCACGCCCCTTTGTGCGCGATCCAAGATCCTTGCCCAAGCAATGCGCGGCAGAGAGTGAGAGATTTGGTACTGCGGAGGAATCGATAGATCCAGATCCCAGAGCGGAGGACGAATGCGGTCGGAGATGGCGATGTTAGGATTGAGGTATGGATCGCTGATGAGAGGGTTAGCTGAGACAGCAGCAGTGGCGGACTCGGCAGCCTCGGGTTCTGATGAAGGATCATCAAAGTCGATAGGACTAGCCATGCGAGATCGTTTAGAGACGTCACCTGCTGCTGCACCAGGATTTCGGCGCTTGTTGCGACTCGTATCGGCTTCGGACGGTGAGCCGCGGTCAGCACTACCAGCAGTAGATGCGGCAGCAGAAGAAGCTCCACCAATTTTACGACCTTTGCCTTGCCAAGTGCCGGCAGAAGGAGCAGGAGAGCCGGCAGAAGCAGAGTTCTTTGCGGCTTCTTCTTCCTGGAATTTCGCTAAGAAAGCGGCTCGTTCAGATTGCATCTGTTTGCCCCATCTGATTTCTTCCTCCGTGTCGACGTTTTCTTTTGCTGCTTCTTCATGCGAGATGGTCTGCAAAGTGGGTACGAGCAATCGATGAAGATGCGAAGGAGGCTCTTTCTCTCCTTCCTTCTTCACTTCCTTCTCTCCATCATCACCCATAGACACATCACCATCTTTGTCGGCCTCTTTCTTCACACCCTCCCCGCTCACGCCTTCTTTCTTGACATCAGCCTCTTTTTCCGTACTGTCCTTCTCCTGCGACTGCTTCCACTTCTGCCATTCAGGATTGACAACCCCTTTCCATGGCTGGTTGGCTCGCTTCTTCCTCTCCTCCTCAGTCCAGATATTGGCATATGCTTCAGCAGCCTCTTTGGCGGTATTGAGCGATGTTTCATCGTCAAAAGGATTCGGCAGCTCTCCCGGAGGTTTTGTAGCGGGACCCTCCAGATAGTGGTACAGCAACCACATGAACGCGTTTGCTCTCTGTCTCGATGGAAGTGGGTGGTCAGCATGTGGGTAGAAGAGCGAATGCGAATCATGCGGTGTAGGGAAATGCATATCCGTCACCTCACTCGCATGCAGTGATAGCAGGAAGATCAAAGTGACGACACTCGTCGGCGGAACAGTACCCGCACGGAACCGCTTGATCACCTCTCTGAAGTCCGACGGTGCCTCTTCGCTCAGCGCATTGGGCTTCTGCGCTCTGACCGGCTGTCCAGCTGATGGACCGGCTGTTGGTGGAGCAGGTCGTTCGGTATCAATGAGCACACCTTTGAGTAGCGACTTCATTCGTGGTGCATCTTGCATGTTCCTTCGCGTGTTCTCGTTGTTTTGCATCGACGGTAAGGGATGGTAGGAGCGCAAGACGGTCTTCATTTCCGGGTAGAAAGCGAGTGTAGTGTTGATGCGACCGACGTTGACGAGCAAGCAGACTTTGGCAAAGTCTTCTGCGTATTCTTCGTCGGCGAGGATCTTGTCCCGCATGGACTTGGTGCACTTGCTGCTGTTTAGGAGGGATTCGATGTAGAGTTCTTTGAAAGTGAGCTTTGCTGCACCCGATTTTGGGAATTCGTCTTCGTCGAGCGCCTCGTTTTCGTCGCCGAGATGTTCGTCATCGTCGTCAGCGTCGGCTTTTGCTGCGTCTGCTTCAGCTTCGTTCCCTCCTTCAGCCAGCTCGTCTCTTTCTTCGTTGCCGTCGTCTCCAGCGTCACCGTTTGCGTTTTCTACGGTGGACTCGGCAGCGGCAGCAGCAGCTGCGGCTTTACGTTCCAGCTTCTCCTTGCGATCGAGACGCTTCTTCCAACGAAGGTAGCGGTCTCGATTCTCCTGCCACTGCTTGAACTCTTCTTCGGTCTCGTCACTGCGCCTTACGCAGCCAGCTGACATGCCGTAGGGGTAGACAGGGGCAGGAACGTTGGCTGGGCTCGCCGGTGCTCCAGAACCACTTGCTGTTGCAGCAGTGGATCGATCACCTGGTCGTGGATTCGTGAAGACCCGTCTAGTATCGGAGAACAGATGGCATAGGAGTGCATGTTGCACGTCGACTCGTCCGAGCGGGTCGCCATCGTATCGTTTGACCGGAAGGTTGCGTGGAAGGTTGGAAGCGTTTGACCTGACGATAGCCAAAGCTGGGGGTGCAGAAGGCCGGTCTGGCGGAGGTGATCCTGGTGTGGACGCCATCTTTGCTGTGATGCAGTCTCGAAAGTAGGCAAGACCGTAGTTGTGAGGAGAGAAGGTGTTGCTACTGCGATTAGGCGGACCGTTGTGAGCAATCTGGAATGTGCCCTTTCGCAAGTCAGGCCGCCGCGAAGAGTTGGACTTTCGGATGTCAGGACTACTGAAAAGAACGATCCAGTGAAATGATATAGGGTGACATAAGCAGTTACAAGATGGATCGGGTGAGGGATGATCTGATCGAAGATCGAAGATTGGGTACAACCTACACCCACTTGTTGTCAGACCTCGTCATTAAGTAGGATGTACCCACGCTTGGCATATGCCACCCAGTTTGTATATATATAGGGATGTTCAAGCCGTCGCGCGAGGCTAAAGAAATTAGAGTAAAGCAGCAGGTATGTTCAACCAGCCTGGATTTTGCTCTTGAAAATGGAGAGGGGGACTTGGGAGTTTCTGTACTCAAAAAAGCTGAAACAGCCAAGTCCCCCTCTGGACTTGAGCTTTGACTTAGAATAGCACCATCACAGCAATTCAAAATGCTGCAACTAAAGGTCAGCCTGGATTCAAATATACCTTGATTCATCTCTGTGCACAACCTTTCTGACTACACAGCACACCACAACCAGCAATCATGTTGGCAACCCAAGAACACCAACTTGCACTTCAAGCAACACCAGCAGCTGATGCTCACAAAAGGAGGCACAGGGACTGGACTTGAGCTGAAGAGCAATGTCTAGTTGACATCCTTTCAGGACATGTGTCAGGGGTCTCGCGCCTGAAACCCAGGTTGGTCTGTCGAGATACTCGGTGACTATCAAACTGTGCGACAGCTATTGTCTCGGTATCAGTGACTATCAAGTTGTGCAGTGACAGCAGGTGGCGTTCGTTGTATATACTATCGTAGGTTTCGGCTGACCTCTGTGGACACTCCGTTCAGGGGTAGCTCGGCATGATCAATATCAATGTTATGATGACACCAAGGTCTGGTGTGAGTGTGGATGATGATGTATGGTGTTGGTGATGAGATTGGTGATGTTGATGATAATGAGGTTGATGGTGTTGGTGATAAGGTTGGTGGCGTCAACACGAGTGTCCAGTGTGTTGACTTGATGCTTGAAGTGATCCCCGGACCGCAGTGGACTACTGCCTTCGGTTCTATCTTGATCCGGACCACTAACCTGCTATGGGCGCCTTCGGACGTCAGGTAGTGGTGATACAACACACACACTACGATGAGGAGCAACCTTTGATGGATTGCTGCTATGCTGACTGAAACTAATATATACTTATGCTGAAGTGATAACTAGTTGTGGTGAGTAGAGTGGATGAGGATCCACTCGACCTATGATGATGAGAAAGCATGGTTATATACCTCTTCTCAGCATCGCCAGCGATGCTGCTCCTGCTCTCTCTCCAGAGAGTACCTTCTTCATCAAGTACTGCTCAGGGGCCTCTCCTGCTTGGCACCCCTGTGCCTCTTGAGCTGTGTCGACTCCTTCGACACTGCTCCTCCTCCTCATGACCTGGTGTCAACTCCTTCGACACTGCTCCTCTTCCTCATGACCTGGTGTCGACTCCTTTGACACTGCTCCTTCTCCTTTGATCAGTGACAGTTCCTTTGGCTCTTGTCTCTCGAGCCCCTGAGTGGTAACCATCTGCATGCTCCTTGAGCTTGGTCCTCTTCGTGGCTGTGCCTGCTCCTTGAGCTTGGTCCTCCTCATGGCTGTGCTTGGCCCTCCTTTGCATGTGGGTCCGTAGGAGTCCATGGTCTCCATGGAGACTGCACTACGACCATGCTCTCTACTGATCTCGACTAGATCTTCAATACCTGTTGAACCCGTGACCCTCCTGCTTCTTGAGCATCCAGGCCCATGACAACATGCTGACTGGGCAGCAATCCTCATACACAATCAAAGCAATGATGCAGTGCAGGGAGCCAACAAGACTGCAATTGCAAAGGAGATTGGACTCCAGCTATGAGCTGATGACCCACCTGATGCAAAGGTGGTGCTTCAGAAAGTCAAATTCTTGAAGGACTGGTTCAAGACATGGTATGACTGGATGAGCCAGAGAGGTCAAGGCTTCTTACTATCTGACCTTCATACAGATAGTCCACTTCTCAGAGAGTGGAACAGGATTCTGCAGGAAGAACCATGGTTTGACAATTTCCACCAACTATACATCAACCAGCAGCCAGCACAAAATCTTGACATCTTCTCCAGTGGCTTCTTGCAAGAGTCTCCCTGTAGCCAACTTCCTGCCTTTTGTAAGCAGTCGGGTGCCTGAAACCAGATTGGGTGTTTCCAATTGATTTTGGTGAGATCAATTGAGTAAGAACTACTTGGTATGTTTCAATTGAAAGTAACCAGACAGCTTTGTTCTGGTAGGTTCTGGCTGACTGCCTTGAACACTCCATTCAGAGGTTGTGCAGCACATCCCTTACTTCCTGGGTTGAGAGTGTTACACTCTCCTATACAGCATGAGTGTTTGTAGTACTGTCAATTGATGCTCTTCAATGTCACCTGGACCACAATATGCCTATTGCCTACAGAAGACAGGAGTTACTGGACTGCAGGTGTTAGACACTGCCTACAATAACTGACTGGACTGCAGGTGTTGAGTGACACTGCCTACAGTGATGAAACTGGACTGCAGGTGTTTGAGAGGAACACTGTCTACAGTTCTGATATCCAACAGTGATGCTACACACATATTTGAGATGTCATTGCAAAGGCTCTTGCTATTGCAATGGTATGTAACTAAGTAAGGGTAGATAAAGTAAAGAGTAGAGTGTATGAGGATCCACTCTTATGCTATGGTGAAGTAGTAGTATTTATGTGTTCAGAGGGTGTCATCCACAGCACTGCTCCTGCTCCTCTTGGAGGAGTGTCCTTGTCCTCCTCCTTCTCCTTGTGTGCCATTCCCCTCAACATTGCCCATCCTCCTCATGGTACCAATGTTGGTCCTTTCAGCCCATCTCCCTCTCCTCCCAATCTGTGGCCATTCCCTTGGCCCCTATCTGATGGCTCTCCTTGACCTTGTGACCATCCATATTGTTCCACTCCTGTCCATGCAGTCTACCTTGTGACTGGGTTATGCAATCAAGAGCATGTTCCCCCTGTGGTAACCTGCCACTTGCTCTTGAGCTTGGTCCTTCTCTTGGCTGAGCTTGGACCTTCTCCTCACATGTGAAACCTTTCCCACTGTCCTGGCCTCCCCCTTGACCAAGGAGATCTTCCCTACCAAATCTCCCATTGTCTCCTTGTAGTCCAGCAGCTCGTTCCATGCCGGTGGCCACTTCTTGCAGTGTGATTGGTGAAATCAACCAGATAGTTGTCACAGGGTCAGAAGGATAGCGCAAGAGAGTGCGCCAAATTGATCAATGGCAGTCATGGGAATGTCGTGCAACGGAGCAGTATATGAAGGGTGCACAATGGATCAATATATGAAGGGAGCACCAGATTGATCAGTGCTGAACCATCAGGGATCAATGAGATTAATTGGGCTGGCAGCACATATGAATTATGAGATCGATTGAACCCTGGGTTCCAGATTAATCTCATTGGGGATCAGTTGGAATCAGTCAGATCAGTATGCTTCAACAAGTCAGCCGATATGAGCAAGTACTAGGAGCTGTGTTGAAGTGACCACATGACCAAGGGGTTTGGTCATGAGGTTCAACAAGTGGCTAAAGGGATTCACAAGATAAAGTCGAGAAGGAGCTGTGTCAAAAGGGGGCATCACACATCATCAGGCAGAAGGAGAGCATGAAGGCAAGAGGGCAGTGTTGCATAACCCTTATGCTGTGCAAACAGTAGGGGCACAGTACCAATGGGATTGATGCCAGCAGGACAAAACAGTGTCAAACAGGGGACAAAGGCCCCTCAAGAGGAGCAGGATAGGTGTTGTGGGCAACACCAGCCAAATGCATAAATACTCTCATTCTACCATAGCATATGAGTGGATCCCCATCCACTCTTTACTTATTATACTACTTACTCTATCTACTCAGTTATGTACCATTGCAATAGCAGTGCTCTTGCAATGACTCTCAATGTGTGTGTTGTATCACTGTTAGTTGACAACTGTAGGTGGTGTTCTTCAACACTAGTGGTCCAGTGCCCTTGCTGTAGGCAGTGTTCTTCAACACTTGCAGTCCAGTCCCTTACTGTAGGTGTGTCAGGGGTCTCGCGCCTGAAACCCAGGTCGGTCTGTCGAGATACTCAGTGACTATCAAACTGTGCAACAGCTATTGTCTCAGTATCAGTCTCAATGAACTAGTTGTTTGGTGACTATCAAGTTGCGCGATGACAGTGGGGGGCATTCATTGTATATACTATCGTAGGTTTTGGCTGACCTCTGTGGACACTCCATTCAGGGGTAGCTTGGCACGATCAATATCAATATGTAGGTTATGATGACACCAAGGTCTGGTGTGAGTGTTGATGATGATGAGGTTGATGGTGTTGGTGATCAGGTTGGTGGTGTCAACATGAGTGTCCAGTGTGTTGACTGATGCTTGAAGTGATCCCCAGACCACAGTGGACTACTGCCTTCGGTTCTATCTTAATCCAGACTGCTGGTTTGCTATGAACCACCTTCAGACATCAGGTAGTGGTGATACAACACATGCACTACAATGAGGAGCAACCCTGATAGATTGCTGCTATGCTGACTGAAACTAATATATACTTATGCCGAAGTGATAAGTAGTTATGATGTGTGTAGAGTGGATGAGGATCCACTTGACCTTTGATGATGAGAAGGTATGGTTATATACCTCTTCACAGCATTGCCAGCGATGCTGCTCCTGCTCTCTCTCCAGAGAGTACCTTCTTCATCGAGTGCTGTACAAGGGCCCCTCTAGCACTGCTCCTCCTCCTTGCTATCCTGCTTGCTTGGCACCCTTGTGCCTCTTGAGCTGTGTCGACTCCTTCGACACTGCTCCTCCTCCTCAGGACCTGCTTGCTGGTTTCCTATACACTGCTCCTTCTCCTTTGACCAGTGATGGTTCCTTTGACTCTTGTCTCTTGAGCCCCTGAGTGGTAACCATCCACATGCTCCTTGAGCTTGGTCCTCCTCGTGGCTGTGCCTGGCCCTCCTCACATATGGGCCCGGTCCTCTTTTGCATGTGAGTCTGTAGGAGTCCATGGTCTCCATGGAGACTGCACTATGACCATGCTCACCACTGGTATCGACTAGATCTCCGATACCTATGCTCCTTCCATATGAACCAGTGACCCTCCTGCTTCTTGAGCATTCAGGCCCGTGACAAGGTGGTGTTCTTCAACGCTTGCAGTCCAGTCCCTTGCTGTAGGTGGTGTTGCTTGACACCAGCAGTCCAGTTGGTTATTGTAGGTGGTGATTCACACCTGCAGTCCAGTAACTCCCATCCTCTGTAGGTGATTAGCATATTGCGGTCCAGATGACGACCAAGAGCATTATCAACAGTAATATGAACACTCATACTGTAGGAGAGGGTGTATCACCCACTCACCAACAAACAATTTTTGTGCCACACAACCTCTGAATGGAGTGTTCAAGGCAGTCAGTCAAGACTTACCAGGTGGTGATGCTTGGTTATGTTTAGGCGAAACATATCAAGTAGACCTTACTCAATCAAACTCAGTAGCACCCCAAAACTAAGTCTCTGGCGCGCGACCGCTTACAATAGTTGTATTCTGATTGATTTCAGCAGAATCAACCAGACAGATGCAACACAGTCATTGTCAGGTGAGAACAACTGGAAACCCATGATCTGGTTGGTTTCCCAATTTTGTGCGCAAAAGGCTCCTCATATCTCATTTCGGATCTTCCTGCGCAGCCTCAATGACACCTTTTCACATCTACAGCTCGACAGCCACTCTGACACCACCAGTCAGAGCCTTGGCATTGAGGTGGATGACTCAAACAGTGATGACAATCTTCTCCCAAGCATGGGGTCACTCAATGAGCATCACCAACACACCCCTCTATGCCATATGCCTGCACCATCTGCATCAAGCAGCCATAGCAATGTTTCTATTCTCTTGCCAGAACACATCAGGTCTCAGCTTGATGCAAGGAAGGAACAGCTTGTAAAGAAGCGAAAACATTCCATCTTTCATGACAACCAAATTGCTGCTCTGTCACAGTCACAGGTTCACATCTCTGACAACAATCTCAAGGCTGTGCAACTTCAGACAGAGCATCAGATGGCATTGCATCAGGAAGAGCATTCCTTTATGGAGCACATGTTGGAAAAGATGGACAATATAGCTGCAAGGCGAGATGAGCAGATGCAGGCCTTCATGAGGGAGCTGATTGGACAAGTGATACAGAAGGACACATAGACCATTCATCTTTGGCGCAAGTGCTCTTTTGTCTTCTCCTGTAGCTGTGACTCCTCTGTTGTCTGTCTGAATATCATTCCTCTTCCCCTGAACAGTGCCTTGTGAAGTGCTTCATGGACAAGCCTGGCTTTAAGCCTCCAATCTTTATCCCGGCGGTGCCTTGACACAAATCTGCTAAGGAATGCCTGTTCCTCCAAGTACAACTGGTTTTTCTTCTTCTTGATGATGCTGGATGGATTGTGTCAACTGTGTAGCTTCAGGGGCACTCAAGTCCTGTCCCGCATAGAAATAATAATCATCAACAGCATCAAACTCGAAGGCAATATTGTGTGCCACCAACATTGCAATCACTGTCTGGCAAGCTGAAGTGTGTGTATCATTGTCCTGGATAAGTGGCTGCATCCCTCTGAGAGCTTGGAAGCGGCCCTTCAAATAGCCTATAGCATGTTCTGATCAGATTCTGATGTTGCTTACTGCCTTATTGAATTGTTGGAAATCATCAGAAGCAAGAGAGGCTTAGTGCCCATATGGAGACACTATGTGTTCAGATAGCCCATACCCTAGGTCAGCCCAAATCCATTCTCCCTTGGTGAGATAATGGCAAGGATTCTTGAAGATGTCAGACTTGGCAAAAGCGCTGCTGTCATGAGTAGATCCAGGGCAGCCAACAACATACTCAATGATCTTGAGGTTGTGTGGCAAAACAACTAGTTGAACATTCAAGCTGTAGTTCTTCTTCCAATCAAAATGCCCAGTGTGAACTGTAGTGGTACCAGTGTTCCATCTACCATTGCAGAGCCATGTTGCCATTCAGGAATCTCAGTCTTGGTGAGTACCCAGTCCTTGGACTTGATCTTCTCGTCTTCAGTTACCCAAGTTAAGCTCTGGCTGCATGCATCAAAGAGAGCAGCTGTCACATTGTTGCTATAGTTGACAACTGAACCCATGCTCAAGCCAAGTATATGAGCAACATCTTGGATGCTGGCACCATTTCCATGTCATCCCATTCTGTAGAGAAGACAGCAAGCTGGAAATTTGGGTTTCTGGAGTTGGCCTTGAAGACCTTGTGATACCTGATCTGCTTAAGGATGCAATCAAATGCTTCCAGCCACATTCTGACCAACCTGCAGAAGGCTTGTCTATCATTCTGATGGAACTTGTCAAGCAAGGAAAGAATGTTGTCTGAAACCCTGTCTTTCTGCTGCACCCTTTGGTCTGCAAGATACCATGTGCTCCATAGCTGATCTGCAATGTGCCTGATGGTTGCAACAGTTGAAATCAAGTTGGGTTGCTGTGCAGCAGAGCAGACAGATGGAATGACAGGTGAGCTGGAAAGAAGGAGACTTGTCACTGTTGCAAGGGCTGACTGCCAACTGAGAGTGGTCTGACTGTATTGTGGCATGGTTATGGTTTGCAGAGTGGGAAACAAAAAAAAATACTGCTTCTGAAGAATTAGTAGCATAAAGTTCCTCTTGGAGTGCTTTACAGGATCAATGCAACTCTCTGCCAAATTTGCTTTTTGGTACTGCACACTTTAGGGTAAAGCTACAAAAGCACATGTGTTGAACAGCCCTTATCTTGCAGGGAGCGAGAGGCTCCCGCCACACTCCTTTTCTTTAGTCAATCGAGTATATATGTTTCTGTCTAAATCAGCAGTGACATCATGCTCCAACTCTTACCGATCGCCAGCCATCAGGACCCGTGCGATCTATTTTTTCTCAAGGACAAAATTAGCATAAGGTTTTTGTCGGTGTAACAGACTTGAAGAAATCGAATGTGGAGCATTTTGACTGCATTGTGGTGTGACTTTTTGAAAAAGTAGGGGGTTTCAGTTTTTTTTTTCTTTTTTTGGAAAATCAAGTTTTTTTTTTGAGTTTTCACTTGCATCGAATATTCATTACTTACATAAGCTCTGCCATTTTGGAAAATACTAGGGGGTTTCAGTTATCTCTGAGTTTTGAAAACACAATACTTTGAAAATATGTTTGGGCCCAATTTTTGATGCCCCAAGAAACTGCACAGGCCTGTGACACTTGCATCTTGGTGTTTCACTTGACTCAGCTGGTAAAAACAATCTCTGATTCCCTACACCAGGTCAAGATCAAAGTGATCATATCAGACATTGTTGAACACTATACTGAACAATGCCAAAACCTTTGATTGAAAAGCTAAAGCAAATAGCTTACATCACACCTGTTCTGATTGCTGTCTTCTGTGAGCCTCATGCCATCAGTTTTGTCTCTCCTGCCATTCAGCAAAGGCCAATGTTGTCATTCCCATCCTTTGAGATTCTGCTGTTGTGTCCTCAAAAGGGTGACCATGAGAAGCAAAGAGTGCAGTGAGCATCTCCTCCCTAAGATCCAGTGCTTTCTCCTGCCTGAACTTCTGGACTCAGTTCTGAGACATGCCCTCCATGGCAGCAGCCTGTTCCTGTTCATATTGCTGCTGGTTTTCCCTTCATTGTATCCTTGCATCTTCAGTAGCCTGCTGATATGCTTCCATCCCTGATGTGGTCTCCAGCACTTCAGCTTCAGATAGATTTTCTGATGCCTTAAGGTATTCTGCCACCTCATCTGGTTGATCATAATGGCTTGCAAATGTATGCACAATGATACAAGCCTGGACCATATGTGCAGCTTTCTCATGGTCCTCTTCTCGATACAGGTTGCCTCGAAATCCCATGAGACAATGGAAGCAGTTCTTGAGGTAGGCAATGCCATGTTCAGCCTTGACACAAATGTGGGAGAGTGAATAGTTGAAGTAGTGGAGATCTCTGCTCTTTGCAGCTGCAGTGTTGCTGTACAGTCCAACTGTGTAGCTGGAGTAGCCATAACTAGCATCAACCCAGACAAACTTGCCTTCATCAAGATGTGAATGAGGCTTGGCAACAATACCACTGCCTGAAGCCCAGACTTGCACATCATGTGATGACCCAGGATGTCCAACCACTGACTTGACAATGTGCAAGGAATGAGGGAGGAAGACAAGGGCAATGTTGAATGTATAATCACCCTTGTATGAGTAATGCTTGCAAGCATTGAGTGCTGGCTTCCAAGCAAGATTGATGTGTGTACCATCTACCACCAACCATCCTCTAGACCATTCCTTGACTCCACTCTTATCAGCAACCCATGCTTTTGCCTTAGCACACTTGTCTTCAGTTGCAAAGGTTACTACCTTGCTGTTCAGCTTGTATAGGCCTGCAATAGTCCTATCTGTCCACATGTGAACTGAGCCCTGACTGCAACTGCAGGCAAATGCAACATCACAAACTCCACCACCATTTCCTGACTGTCCAAGCTGATATAGACCAACTGCCACTTGCTGCTGAACATGCTGAAAGCTTGATATTGATCTGAAGGCATTGGTTGTGCTGAGCCTGTAAGTGAGAGCTTGGAATGCATCTAGGGTCATGTGAACAGCCCCTCAAAAGAGCTTGCAGTTGATGACAGCATATTGATCAAGCATGTTGATGAGGGGATCCCTTCATTGTGGCAGTTGAAGGCATTCAACTGTGTATTGAGACTGGCTGATGATGTCATAAGTCCTGATGAGCATGAATGAGACAGCTTGATCAAACATGTCATCATCAGATTCTTCAAGGTCATCATTAGGGTGCCAAGTGGCATCAACATCCATCAGATCAAGTTGCATCTTGGATTCCACCATCAATGAGTGCATGATGGTGGTCTCAATGTTGTCCAGGAGGTGCTGTTTGTCAGAAGTGCACACCATGGTTGAAGTAGAGGGCCAGAAATAGGAGATTGATGATTGATGAGTTCAGTTGAACAAGGATGATGTGGTCCAAAAGAGAGTCCAAAGCTACAAACACAACTCAGCTGAGTTCTGCACATCTGAGTTTGGTGCAACATGCATGCTTGGAACCAGGGCTACATGCAGCATTCCTCCACCAAGATCATTCTTCCACACTTACACCAATCAGCATCTTGTTTGTGGAACAATTCATCACATTGAAGCAATCTACATTTGAGAGATTACATGGAAGACTGGGTATGGGGTATGCTAGTCTTACATATTGAGAGCTAGCTTTACAGAGAGCAATGGTACAACAAGTTGGAAACACAGGAACAGAACTTGGAGAACTCAAAAGGAACACCATTCTTGCCAAATGGTCTACTCACAAGCTGAATCATTGTTGTCCTGTTGATCCATGGCAAGAACCAGTGGGTCAAGTTCAAGATTGCTTTGACTACTTCCTGCAATGTTGCCAAAGGGTAGATTAGGGTTCATCATCTGCACCATCTCCATGAGCCAACCATGCTCTTCAGTTTGCATGTGCTCTTGTCTCTCACTTTCTTCCCTGTCAAATTGAATGTGCATTTCCACCCTCTTTGTGCATTCCTCCTCAACCTTGATTCTTGCCTGAAGCATGTCTTGGGTGCAGGCCCACACAATTTCTGACAGCTCTTCTCACTTGCTCTTGGAAGTGGAGGGTCGAGACTTCTTGGGTGTTGTACCTGTGGCTGGAGAATAGAAAACAGAGCCACCATCACCATCATCCACTTCATCAGCCTCAAAAGCGATGCTGGATGAGTGCTGGCAGGTTGGAGTTGTCATGGGCCTGGATGTGCAGAGAAGAAGGAAGAACCAAAGTTCATATGAAGGCAGTACAGGAATCAAGGGATTGGGCAGAATGTAGGATTTGTGGCAGAGCTCACCAAGATTGGCAGTATAATCAGCTCTATGACAGATCTCAGCGAAATCGGCATGAGCATCATTGATATCACGAATTCTGCCAGAATCTGCAGCAAGCAAGATCATGTGGGAGATTCTGTGGAGATCAGTAGTAAGGATGTCCATATGACGATTCACATGCGAGGAGGACCAAGCTCTGCCAGGCCAAGGACCAAGTCTTGCCAAGACAGGGACTGAGCTCAGTGACATGTGGTTGGTTACCACTCAGGGGCACACAGGACAGGAGTAAAGGAGAATCATCACTGGTCAAAGGAAGGAGAGCTGTGTAAAGGACACCAGTGAGAAGGACATGAAGAGGAGGAGCAGTGTTGATGGAGTCGACACAGCTCAGGAAAGACAGGAGTGACAAGGCTCGATGAGGAGGAGGAGTCTCCTTGGAGATCCCTGTACAGTACTCAACAAAGAGGGTACTCTCTGGAGAGAGAGAGCAGGAGCAGTGTCACTGGCAACACTGTGAAGAGATATATAATCATACCATCTTGTCACAAATGGTCAAGTGGATCCCCATCCACTCTACACACCATATAAACTAGTATTACTTCAGAAGCATAAGTACATTAGTTTTCAGTCAGCATAGTAGTAATCAATGGATTGCTCCTCATTGTAGCATGTGTGTTGTATCACCACTCACTGATGTCTGAAGGCAGTTCATAGCAAACCAGTGGTCCAGATTAGATAGAACTGAAGGCAGTCATCCACTGTGGTCTGGGGATCACCTCAAGCAACAGTCAACACACTGGACACTCATGTTGGTGCCACCAACAATCACTCTCACACCAGACCTTGGTGTCAGTACAAGTTCACATCGTTATTGATCATGCTGAGCTACCTCTGGACAGAGTGTCCAACAGCAGTCAGTCGAAATCTGCAATAGCATTTATACAACTACAGATTCGAGTGAGAAAAGTAATAGAGACAGCTCTACTACATATCTTGCCAGGAATCACAATACCACAAGCTCTGTCACATAACTCGACAGAATCGGCAATAGTATCGATACTACTACCAATCTCAGGTTTCAGGTGTGCGACCCCTGACAGGAGTGTCTATAGGGGTAATGGTGAAGGGGGTGGGGCCAATCGAAGATGGGTTGGATGAGGAAGGGAAGGGTGAGCAGGATGAAGATGAAGCAGCAGCTGGGGTGGCTGCAACTGAAGAAGAAAAAGACAAGATAACTCTTGCTCCAATGGGATCATATTGTGACTCCTCAAGAATGGATTTCATGCCAGGAATGTTGCATCACTGAGGGTAGTGAGCATTGCTGGCATTGTCCATGTTCACATCAGCATCAACTGAGTTATTCTGAGAGGAGGCAGGGGGGGCATCATATGGGTGACCAGTGAGAAGAACAACTGGACCAGTCTGTGCATGGTTGGTCATCATCTCATGCCAGTGCTCAAACCAAGGGTGGCTTCGAGCAATCAATTCATGTGTGGCATAGTCCTGCAAGTTGATAAAGAAGCATAGACAGAGATATAAAGTATAAGAACAGTGGCACACTTAACATGAATCAACTAAGTTGTACTTACTGAGCTGTTGTGATCCATGTCTTGAAGAAGTACTCCAGCACTGGTCTGCTGTGAGATGGTCTTCTTGATGTTGTTGTATTGTTCAGTGAGCCAGCAAATCTTAGTCTTTACTTGACCAGCACCACCAACAGTAGACTCATCTGGGAACAGCTCCTGCCATATCTGCCTGCAGATAATGTCTTTGTTTGTCTTCAGACCCTTTTCCTGTTCCACAGTCAAATGTCCTGGCAATAGAACACATTGGTATTGATCATTATTGTAGATGATATCAATGAGGTTATTTATGTTGCTAGGTGACCAATTGAAGTAGGCAATATGTTCTGTTTTGTTGAACCTGCTGCCACAAGTACTGGCTTGATGGCTGTGAGCTGCAGAGATTCGAGTTGGGTGGGTAGAGGCTTGGCGAGGCAAAGAACCAGCAGATGTGGTGGCATTGGAACCAGAAGGAGTGGAGGAGGACAAAGGGGAAGCGGGAGAGGTTGCTGGCTGAGTCAACTCAGCCGCAGCCAAGGTGCTGGAAGTTGCAGAAGGGTGGGGCTGATGAGAGCCATCAAGGTTGGACTGAGCTGACATTGTGTTGTGCTGTGAAGCAGTTGAAGACTGCTCTGATGCTGGAGCCAATCCAGAGGCTTTCTGCAAAGCTGTGAATAGTGTATTGTTGTTGATATGGTCATGAGGGGATGGCATGTCCATGTCCTGGCACTGACAGGGAGGAAATGCTACTGGAGATGGTGATAGAAGTGAAGCAAGGACAGATGTAACTCAAAGTGTGAGAAAGTGTAGACAGTGCAGAAAGTGGAGTTCAAGGGTTGTGTGCAGAATTGTGTTAGAATCATGTGATATCAGCACATGACAAAAACTCCCGCTAAAAACTCAAATATTCAGAAACCCAGGCTCATGGCAAAAATAAGTAGAGGTTTTCAAAACTTCCAAGCTTTTCTTTCCTGGCAGAGCTTACTTAAGCAGTGAGTTTTCAAAATCCAAAAAAACCATGAAAACTCAGAGTTTTGAAAACTCAGAGAAAACTGAAACCCCCTACTCTATTTTTCGAAAACACTGCATCAGCAGTAGCAATGTGGCAGAGTTTTCAGAATTGGACCTGAGTCTTCACTCATGTGATGTTGCATGTGATGTTGCATGTGATGTTGCATGTTATGTGGCATGTGATGTACTTGTGCAAATGCCTACACATTTCCTGCACAGCTTGTTTTTCATGAGCCCACAGTGTCAATAATGACTGTGTCTACTTTGATTGTGTGACAAGAGTGTCAAAGATGGTGGAGCTACAAGGTGGTTTGGATTCTGGAACTGCTTCATTTTCTGGCCAACACTTCATTTTCCAGCTGACACTTCATGTTCTGGCCAACACTACCCTAACTCTTAGTCTAAAAACACAGCTTACATTTGGGGGCATCAATTTTTGGAGCTTTTTTGAGTATTGGAAGACTCTAGTTTTCGAGGGCAAAAAAAAATAAAAAAAACTGAAACCCGCTAGTTGAAGATACATCGGTATTTCAAAAGGTTGACATGTTAAATCAGAGTACTCAGAGTCAGGGAACCAGAAAGACGCCAAGCACCAAAGAGAATGAGGTAGATGCAAAGCTTGTGGTAACACATGCAGCCTATGCTTGTGGATTGATTCCATGGTATGCAGGGGGTATGTTGACATGAGAACTGTCATGAAAGGAGATACATGGTCCATGGACAATGACTTGGAGAGTGAGTGTAGTTGGATGTTAAGGTATATATACTCCTGTTTAGTAACTACCATCCCATTGAAATTTAAGCCTTCTCACTTAGATACACCCGGCTGCGAAGAGCGCCTGATAGTGGCCTCTAGAGCGGCGTACCTAATTTCAACTGAGAAGAAAACCTCAAGATGGAGCACAGCTCAGCTTTCAGAGAAGTGCACGTTCGTGTGACGAGTGACAGCTTTGCTGAGAGCGGCTCCTTTGCTTGCTTTTGCACCATAATATCAACCCTTTGACCATTTATGGCCGCTTCTTAGCTCTTTGCAGAAAGTACGGAGGCCAAAGATGGGAAAAAAGAGGCCCACCCTAAAAGGCACCGTCCAGCGCGGGTATGCCACTACCTCGACCCCCAAGAAAGTGCAGGATCCACCTCCAGCAGCAGCAGCGAAAAAGCCTGCAACCACCAAGACCGCCAACTCAGCAGCTGCAGTCGATTACGAAAAGATCAACGACGAAAGCCTTGCAGTCAACCTTTCTGCGGCCAAGTCGACCGGTGCCGACGGAAAGCCGGGCGGAGCTGATCACTTCGACCCTGAAAAGGAGGAAGAGCAGGTGCTCCAAAACCTCGTCGACAAGCTTCAGGACAGGGTCGAGAAGGAAGTCTCGCGCCAGCACAAAGCTATCGAGTATGACCGGAGACTTGCTAAGACACTGCCCAACTTCGAGATGGATCCGGAGCTACGTGATCAGGTGCTCGAGGTTGCAGCTGACCTCGGCAAGCAGGCGAAGGCGGCAGCAGCACCCTTGAACGCATGCACTGGAGCACAGGACACAGAAGCCCCATCAGCCAACCTGAGCAGCCCTACAAACTCTACCGCTACGCCAGTCACCGCCACCTCAGGTACCACAACACTCTCGGGTAGCGCAACACCAATCAGTATCGGCTCTTCGCATACCCCTCTGGCCATGGCTACCCTGACAAAGGATCTGCAGAAGCTGTCGGTCAACAACGCCGGATGTTCTGGAGCAGCTTCATCTTCCACCTCAGCATGGACTGAGTCCGAAGACAAAGTCATGACCAAAGCACTGACCACCTACCAGATCCTCCTCAAGCTGGGCTTCTCGTCAGCACAGGTCGAAGACGCGCTCTCGAACGCTCTCTCTCCGGACGTTGAAGAATGCTTGTCGTACCTGTATCTGGCTCTCAATGAAGAGTCGTTGGAGGATGCCATTCGAGCTGGCGAGGGCAAAGCAGCTAAAAAGCGACGCGGCAAAGAGACCAACAAGAAGGACTTCCCATCGCTCAACGGTGCGGCTGATGACAAGGATGAGGATGAGGATGATGACGAATACGATGAGAGCCGACCGCCAGTATACCACGGCTACGATTTCACTCGAGTAGAATCACTTGGCAAGAACAATTTCGCACGCAATGAGCAGGCAGGCCCCACCAAGGCTATTCCAGGAGCAGCTTCACCAGGGCCCACACCAGCCGCTTCTGCAGCGACAATAGCATCCAAAGTTGCACCTCGGACTTCTAAGCCCAAGGTCGACCAGGAGAAGGTAGACACCCTTAAGAAGTCGTGCGAGCGCCTAATCCTGCGGCTCAGTGATGACCTCGACTCGAATCAAATCGACACACTTGAAAAGCCCACTGCAACGTGGTCGATCCTGCGGGCGATGCAGATTCGCATCGATCAGGAAAAGTCCAAGTGGAAGAAAGAGCTCGGCAAGGACGGCGAATCACAAATGAAGCAAGAAGATGCCAGACTCGAAAGGGTACTTGGCCGCACCAAAGACTTCATGCGCGAGTGCGAGCGCGGTGCGTTCTTCGACCAGAAGTCTGCCACGAATGGCTTCCGACAGGTGCTTCGTCAGCGAGAAGAGATCGAGAAGCAGCTCAAAGCGGCAGAGGAGGAAGAGGAGAAGAAGCGTCAGCAGCGACGACGAGAGATTGAGGCAGCTGCTGGCATCGAGTCCGCTTCTCCAGCAACAGTAGAGGCAGCTCCGGCCGACAATGCAGAGTCAAAGGATAAGGCGCCGACTTCCACGGAGGGAAAGCAGGAAAGCGAGTCTCCTGACAAAGGGGAGGACGACAAGCCAGATGAGAAGAAGTCAGATGCTGGCTCCGATGATGAAGGCGGCATGTTCGGTGACTTGCTCAATGAAGGCCCCATCGAGGACAAAGACGCCGACACCGGTGTGACCGTCACCGTGCGTGACCTGCCAGCACGAGCAAAGAGTGGTGATGGAGGCAAAACGCCTCGTGTCATGCTCTCGGATGCTCTTAAGCGAGCTGACCCGTATTCGACGTACAAGTTCACCGTCATCCCCTCGGGTGGTCGTCTGCACCGCAGCAAGCTCACTATCCGATGGAACGGAGGTAAAGTCGTTCCCAACAAGACCCCTATCAGCATCGGCATACCATCTTACGTCGACGAGTACACGCTCACAGCTGTCGGATGCGCGACCCAGCTTCAGTCGGACGACTTTGTCGCCACGGTAGCGCTCTTCTGCATCGACCGCGACAAATCGGTCCAGCGCGCACTGCCTCCTGGCTATCGCGAATGGTGGGAGGAACTCACCAACCTGCAAAAAGATGAGCGAGACCGAAAGAGCCGTACTCGCTTTCAGCGTGTGCGTGATGTTGTTCGTGTCAGGATGGAGGAGGCTGCAGCGGCCAAGAAGGCAAAGGGAAAGACTGCACCTGGCAACGCTTCTGCAGCAGCGGAACAGACCGAATTGGGAGAGTTGTCGGCTGCTTCTGCACCCCAACCGTCCGAGGCGCGGGCCAAAGAGATTGCCGAGTACTTTAGCAACCGCATTGCATCACCTTCGTACCAAAAGATGCTTCCGGGTCGTCAGAGCTTGCCCATCGCCAACCATCGCCAGGAGATTCTCGACCTCGTCGAGAATAATCAGATCTTCGTCCTCAGTGGTGAGACTGGCTGTGGTAAATCGACTCAGGTGCCCGCCTACATTTTAGAGCACTGCATGTCACAAGGCCGCAACTGCAAGATCTACGTCACCGAGCCTAGGCGTATCTCGGCCATTTCTCTCGCTGAGCGTGTCAGTGAGGAACTGGGTGAGCCACGCAAGAGTGTCGGCAGCAACGACAGCTTGGTCGGCTACGCGATCCGACTCGAGAGCAACGTCGGCAAGAATGCGCGCCTGGTCTACGCTACAACAGGTATCGTCCTGCGTATGCTCGAGGGAACAGCCTTCAACGAAATTACACACGTCATCATTGACGAGGTGCATGAACGATCGATTGAGTCCGACTTCTTGCTCGTCATTCTCAAGACACTCATTGCGCACCGAAAGGATCTCAAGGTCATTCTCATGTCTGCTACTGTCGATGCTGAGCGCATCAGCAAGTATTGTGGTGGGTGCCCGACTATTGCTGTTCCTGGTCGCACGTTCCCTGTCAACGTTCATTACCTGGAAGATGCCGTTGAGATGAGCGACTACATCATCGAGGACGACTCACCATATGCATTCCGACCCAAGCGCGGCTATCGCGATGGCAACGCACGCAAACAGAACGCTCCTGGCAACAAGAGTAAGTTGCAGCTTCTTGCTCAAGCACCAGCGCCAGAAGAAGATGATGATCCTGCCCTGCTTGACGATGACGACAATGACCCTGACGGCCAAGGTTCTAGCATGGGCAGTCTCGGCAAAGCCTATCGCAGCAAGACGATCGACACGCTCGGGAGGATGAACGAGTACGTCATCAACCATGATCTCATCATCAAGATCCTTGAGCGGGTATGTCTCGAAAAGGATCTGGAGTCGTTCAGCGCGGCTACACTCATCTTCATGCCTGGTCTTGCAGAGATTCGCAAGTGCCACGACATGCTTGTCGATCACCCCACTTTCGGTGGACCTGGCTTCCAGCTTTTCCCACTGCATTCGACTATCTCGTCAGAGAACCAAGGCGCTGTCTTCAACGTGCCACCTCCTGGTGTGCGCAAGATCGTCATCGCCACCAACGTTGCCGAGACCGGTATCACCATCCCCGATATCACCTGTGTGATTGACTCAGGCAAGCACACAGAGATGCGATACGACGAGAAGCGACAAATTTCACGCCTAGTCGAATGCTTTATCGCCAGGAGCAACGCTAAGCAGCGACGCGGTCGTGCTGGTCGTGTGCAGGAAGGTATCTGCTTCCACCTTTTCACCAAGTATCGTCACGACTCGTACCTCGATGAGCACCCGTTGCCGGAGATGCTGCGTTTGTCGTTGCAAGGTCTTGCACTCAAGCTCAAGATCATGAAGATCAAGATCGGCAACTCGATCGAGAATGCACTCTCGCAGGCTCTTGAACCGCCGAGCCCGGCTAATGTGCAGCGTGCCATTGCCGCACTTGTTGAGGTAAAGGCGCTGACATCGAAGGAAGAAATCACACACCTGGGTAGACATCTGTCCAAAATGCCACTCGATGTGCATATGGGCAAGTTCCTACTCGTAGCAACTCTATTCAAGTGTCTCGACCCAGCATTGACGATCGCTGCAGCGCTCAACTCCAAGTCACCCTTCATGACACCCTTCGGTAAGGAGCTGGAAGCAGATCGAGCCAAGCAAAGCTTCAAGCTTGGCGACTCGGATTTCCTCACCATCGCCAACGCCTTTAACGGCTTCCGACGCAGTACAGCTCAAAACCACCACCGTACCTTCTGCAACCGCAGTTTCCTCAGCATCCAAAACCTGCTTCAAATCGAAGAGCTTCGCCAGCAGTACTTTTCATACCTCATCGATGCCGGCTTTGTCTCTGTCGACGATGCATTCCGTCAAGAACTCGACAAACTTCGCTACCGTTCCGGTGGATCCGCCAACTACTCCAAACTTCGATTCATGACCATCCCTGCATATCTTGACGTCAATTCCTCCTCTCTCGCCATGATCCATGCCACCCTAGCAGCCGGTCTATACCCCAAACTCCTCAACATCGATTCCAAAACTTACCAGCTCAAAACGATCGGTAATAATCAACCCACTTCCATCCACCCCTCTTCCGTCAACTTCAAAACGAAAATGAGCGAATTTGTTAGCAGCTCAAGCTCTTATATGCTCTACTACACCATGATGCAGAGTAAGAAGTTGTATGCATGGGAGACAGGTTGGACGGACGATAAAGCGGTGTATATGCTTTGTGGTGATGGAGAGTTTAGATTGTCGAGTAATAGTTTGTATATTGACAGGCAGAGGATTAGGATCGCCAGCGCGGATCCGAAGACTCTTGTGGCGCTAAAGACATTGAGGGAGGGATTGGGGAGGTTGATGAAGGCTAGCTTTAGGAACCCAGGGAAGGAATGGAGTGAAGGGCAAGAGAGATTGTTTGAGTTGGCGCGTAGAATGCTGGACGTGGGGGCGAATGAGAAGGATTTGGCGCTACAGCAGTAGACCACATCAATAGACACCATGAATCACAACAAGCATGCTATTTCTAGACATCACAACATGGTAGCAACATCCTATGCATGGTATCAAAACGATCACATGGAAGGATCAGAGCTACTATTTCAAGCATCTAGGTGAGGCTGTGTACGACCTAGAGGGGGTATCAAACTTTTTGCGTTTTTAAGAAGGCGGATTTTTCGAAGGGTAGGGGGTTTCAGTTTTTTTTTTGCCCTCGAAAACTAGAGTCTTCCAATACTCAAAAAAGCTCAGAAAATTGATGCCCCCAAATGTAAGCTGTGTTTTTAGAGGGTTAATTTTTGAAGCCAACAAAGGGAGGGTAGTGTTGGCCAGAACATGAAGTGTCAGCCAGAAAATGAAGCAGTTCTGGAATCCAAACTGCCTTGTAGCTCCACCATCTTTGACACTCTTGTTGTATAATCAAAGTATATACAGTCATTATTGACACCGTGGGTTCATGCAAAACAAGCTGTGCAGGAACAGTGGAGGCATTTGCGCAAGTAGATCACGTGCAACATCATGTGTCAGAGGTCTCATGCCTAAAACCTGAAATCTGTGGTAGAATTGCAACTACTACTGATCCTATCGAGATCTGTGGTAAAAGGCCTTTATTATTATTCTTGCTGAGATCTGTCATAGAAGCCTTCTATGACTTTTCTTGCTTGAATATGTGATAGTTTGATTGTTACTGCAGGTTTTGACTAACCACTGCAGACACTCCATCCAGAGGTAACTTGGCACAATCAATAACTATAGGTATGTGGTGCTGACACCAAGGTCTGGTGCTGATGAGGTTGATTCAACACAAATGTCCAGTGTGCCAATTGAATGAGAGGTGATCCCTGGACCGCAGTGGATGACTGCCTTTTTGTGCAGACCGTGAGGTCGGCATCCTCTGTGAGATCTGTTGTATGATTAGGATTCAACAGGTTCTAGTGAGCTTTACTGTAAAATCCTGCTTGTACTGATCTGGATGAAATCTGTCATAGAGCCTCTCTACTACAGATCTCAGTGAACTCTGCCTTAACCCTTCATTTCTCCTGATCCTGCGATTCCAGTGCTCTTCTTCATCTGACTTTGGCTTCTGCACATCCAGTCCCATGACAATGTGCAACATCACATGAGTGAAAACTCAGGTCCAATTTTGAAAGCTCTGCTGCATCAGTACTGCTGAAGCAGTGTTTTCAAAAACTAGAGTATTTTCCAAAATGGCAGAGCTTACGTAAGTAATGAATATTCGATGCAAGTGAAAACTCAAAAAAAACTTGAGTTTCCAAAAAAAAAAAAAAAAAAACTAAAACCCCCTGAGGGGGTATCAATTTTTGAGTGTTTTTAGAAACACATGTTTCTCGATTTTGACAAGTTTTTATTTTGCACAAAAACCTTACATAAGCTCACCCAAATTTGAAAAAACACATGTTTCTAAAAACATGCCTCTGGACCTGGTAAAATGGACTCACTTTTTTGTCACTTTCCAAAATGAAGTGCAGATGCATGGATGTGCATCCACTTGCTTCACTTCATCACACTGGTGCATCATGTCCTTCATTACTGTGTGTCAAATGAAGTGCAGATGCATGGATGCACAACCACTTGCTTCCCTCCTTCTTTACCAACAATGGATTTGATAACATACATGTTAAATCGAACCAAATGTCACCTTTGCTGCAAATGTGTTTTTGGAAACATGTGTTTTTTGGATGCTCCAAAAAGGGGTGTTCAAAAATGGGAAAAAGTCGTCAAAATCGAGAAACACGTGTTTCTAAAAACACTCGAAAATTGATACCCCCTCTGGAGCGTTTTTCAAAAAAGCGCAAAAGCTTACATAAGCTGCGCCAAGTGGAAAAAAAAATGTGCACATTTCTAAAAATGCAGGTCAGGAGATGGTATTGTGAAAATGCAGAACAGAGTTCACTCCACAACAGTAGGGGGTTTCAGTTTTCTCTGAGTTTTCAAAACTCCAAGTTTTCACAGCTTCTTTGGATTTTGAAAATTCTTTGCTTAAGTAAGCTCTGCCTGGAAAGAAAAACTCAGAAGTTTTGAAAAACTGTACTTATTTTTGCCACAAGCCCAGGTTTCTGACTATTTGAGTTCTCAGCAGGAGTTTTTGTCACATGCTGATATCATGTGATTGTAACATGACCCTGGGCATGGCCCTTGAGCTCCACTTTCCACACTATCTACACTTTCTCATGCTTTGAGTTATGGTTGCCCTTGCTTCACTTCTATCACCATCTTCAGTAGCATTTCCTCCCTGTCAGCACCCAGACATGGATCAGACCAGTCTTCAGCTGCTTTGCAGCACAACACAATGCCAGCTAAGTCCAACCTTGATGGCTCTTGGCAGCCCCACCCTTCTGCAACTTCCACACCTTGACTGGGGCTGAGTCAACTCAGCCAGCAGCCTCTCCCACTTCCCCTTTGCCCTCCTCCTCTCCTTCTGGTTCCAATACCACCACATCTGCCAGTTCTTTGCCTTGCCAAGCCTCTACCTGCCCAAATCAAATCTCTGCAGCTCACAGCCATCAAGCCAGTACTCATGGCAGCAGTTTCAACAACACAGATTGTATTGCCTACTTCAATTGGTTGCCTAGTGATATAATTTGCCTTGTTGATATCATCTACAATATTGATCAATACAAACATGTTCTATTGCCTGGACATTTGACTGTGGAACAGGAAAAGGGTCTGAAGGCAAACAAAGATGTTATCTGTGGTCAGTTATGGCAGGAGCTGTTCCCAGACAAGTCTACTGTTGGTGGTGCTGGTTGAGTAAAAACTAAGTTTTGCTGGCTCACTGAACAATACAACAACATCAAGAAGACCATCTTGCAGCAGACTGGTGCTGGAGTAATTCTTCAAGACATGGATCACAACAGCTCTGTAAGTACAACTTAGTCTATTCATGTTAAGTGTGCCAACGTTCTTATACTTTATATCTCTGTCTATGCTTTCTTTATCAACTTGCAGGACTATGCCACACAGTGGTCCTCCCGACCCTATCAACGCGTGGGTGGAACCCACGGTTGACAAGCAGTGGACTCATGTGGCCTGTGCTGCTCCCTCTGTCCCCTCCGGCTATGTCTACATGTAGTGACATAGCTGCATTTCCAATTTCTTGTTCCTCCTGATCTGATTGAGCCTGTGGCCTGCCTCTTATGAGATTGCTCATGACCCTGCTTGAGAGTCGTTTCGTCCTTGACCCTCCTTGTGTGTGATGAGAGGTCGTCACCTCCTACTTGTTATGAAATCTGTCATACAGCCCCTATATTGCTGATTCCTGCAGAATCTGTAGTTATGTGTCTTCTTCCACAGATTTCGTTCGAAATTGGTCCCAACTCTCATTCACCGATTTTGCCTCCACCTCGTGCTCCTCCTTGTGCTAGCCTCGTCTCCCCCCCCAAAGCCTCATACTCCTGGATGAGGTCTGGGCAGTTGAGGTTAGTCACAGGTTCCCAAGAAGCTGTCTCTTCTGGGTACCCCCTCCACAGCACCTTATATTCCACCCTCTGTCCCCTTGTGTGCTTCCCAATGAGGGCCTTGACTTCGAATTCGAGCTCCTCATCTGGGAGTGCCAGTATGACTGGCTGTGCAGACTGTTGTGGAAGTGAACTAGTCCTCACTGGTTCGAGCATGGATACATGAAACACATCATGAACCCTGAGGTTTGCTGGTAAATGTCAGGGGTCTCGCGCCTGAAACCCAGGTTGGTCTGTCGAGATACTTGGTGACTATCAAACTGTGTGACAGCTATTGTCTCGGTATCAGTCTTGATGAGCTAGTCACTTGGCAACTATCAAGTTGTGCAATGGGTGGCATTTGTAGTATATACTATCGTAGTTTCGGCTGACCTCTGTGGACACTCTGTTCAGGGGTAGCTCAGCACAATCAATATCAATATGTAGGTTATGATGACACCAAGGTCTGGTGTGAGTGTTGATGATGATGAGGTTGATGGTGTTGGTGATTAGGTTGGTGAGCATTGATGATAATGAGGTTGATGGTGTTGGTAATAAGGTTGGTGGTGTCAACATGAGTGTCCAGTGTGTTGACTGATGCTTGAAGTGACCCCTGGACCGCAGTGGACTACTGCCTTCGGTTCTATCTATATCCAGACCGCTGGTTTGCTATGAACCGCCTTTGGACGTCAGGTAGTGGTGATACAACACATGCACTATGATGAGGAGCAACCTTGATAGATTGCTGCTATGCTGACTGAAACTAATGTATACTTATGCTGAAGTGATAACTAGTTATGATGGGTGTGTAGAGTGGATGAGGATCCACTCGACCTTTGATGATGAGAAAGTATGGTTATATACCTCTTCACAGCGTCGCCAGTGATGCTGCTCTTGCTCTCTCTCCAGAGAGTACCTTCTTCATCGAGTACTGTACAGGGGGGCCCCTCTAGCACCACTCCTGTCCTCCTTGAGCTATCGACTCCTTCGACACTGCTCCTCCTCCTTGCTATCCTGCTTGTTTGGCACCCCTGTGCCTCCTGGGCTGTGTCAACTCCTTCGACACTGCTCCTCCTCCTCAGGACCTGCTTGCCGGTTTCCTATACACTGCTCCTTCTCCTTTGACCAGTGACAGTTCCTATGACTCTTGTCTCTCGAGCCCCTGAGTGGTAACCATCTGAGCTTGGTCCTCTTCATGGCTGTGCCTGCTCCTTGAGCTTGGTCCTCTTCATGGCTGTGCCTGCTCCTTGAGCTTGGTCCTCCTCGTGGCTGTGCCTGGCCCTCCTCGCATGTGGCTCGGTTCTCCTTTGCATGTGAGTCCATAGGAGTCCATGGTCTCCATGGAGACTGCACTATGACCATGCTCTCTACTGGTATCGACTAGATCTCTGATACCTGTGCTCCTTCCATATGAACCAGTGACCCTCCTGCTTCCTGAGCATTCAGGCCCATGACAGTAAAGTGATGTGGTATGCTCAGCAGCCTACCCATTCCTGGACTGGGTAAGGTCCTGCAAACCTGGTATCCAGTTTCAGCATAGGTCACCTTGTCTTCCAGTTCTGGCAATTGATGTACACCAATTTGCCAACCTTGAATTCGATGTCCTTATGCTTCCAGTTGTACTGTTCCACTGTTCAATGTTGTGCCTCTCTGATCTGGTCTTGGAGGTACTTGCAATGCTCTTTGCTGTCAACCAAGTACTTGGAACAATCAGGATTATTCACCCCTAGTTGCTGAGGTATGTCAGGATGGGCCTTGGGGTTCCATCTGTAGCATGTGAAGAATGGCAAGATGCCAATGCTGTTGTGGACTGTGTTGTTATACACAAAGGCTGCTGTTTGGAGCAGATTGGCCCAATCATCCTGTTCATAGTTGCAATACATCTGTAGGTACTGCTCTACTACTTGATTGACTCTCTCTGTTTGTCCATCTGTCTGTGGATGGTAAGCCATGCTGAGCAAATGCTTAACACCCATGCTCTCAGCAAACTCCTTCCATGCATTTGAGATGAACTGTCTTCCCCAGTTTGAGACCATATGATCAGGGAATCCAAAGTGTTTGACCACATGTCCCCAAATTGACATGGCAGTCTGTTTTGCCATGACTGTCTTATGAGTTGGGGCCAGGATGGCATACTTGGTCAGTCTGTCAACAATGACCAGTATGGAATCATACCCTCTTGATAGTGGCAGTCCTTCAATGAAGTCCAGCAAGATGGAGCCCCATGGTCTGTCCAGTGTGGCAAGCAGTTGGAGCAGGCCATACAGTCAATGGCAAGGTGCTTTGTATTGGGCACACATGGGACAGCTTGCCACATAATCGGCAATCCAAGCTGTCATGTTTGGCCACCAATAGTGCCATTGTGCCACCTTGATGGTGGCATCTTGTCCCACATGTCTGGCTGTGATGCCATCATGACATTGGGACATCACCATGAACTGCAAGTGTTTGACAGAGAGGGATCAACCATCCACTTCTCTGGCACTTTGTGTCTGGCAGTCATTGGTTCTTCCCAGCATGGTTACCTTCAGGATGACCAATCTACCACCACTGTGCCATAAGCCATCCTTGACTTCAAACAGCTTCTTCACATGTATCTCCTGCAACTCCTGGTCCAAGGGCTGAAAGATATTGGTCAACTCCTTGAGCTCTTGCATTGCTATAGACTCCATTGTGAGCATGGGAGCTACTAATACAGAATCATCATCCAAACACACTGCTAAGGCCAATTCTGTTGAAATCTGTAATATTGTGCTCACTACTATGGTTTCTGCTGGATTTTGCTGTATCCTGCTTCTTTTACCAATTTCATTTTCCACCTTCTTGAATACCCAAGCAGGCAGCAGTTGCCACACATTGTGCTCTTGTTCCTTGCTGACAGGTTGCATATCAACTTGTCTGGTGAGTGCATCAGGTTCACTGCCCTTGTCTCCTGGTCAGTATTGCAGCATGAAGTCAAAATCAGCCAACAATACCACCCATCTTGCTTGTCATCCTGTGATGCAGTGCTGTGACTTGAAGTACTTGAGCACCTTGTGATCTGTGAGAATAACTAGCTGACTCAGCAGTCCTGCTAGCATGTGTTGCCACTGGGTGAGGCAAGCTACTACTGCCAGGAGCTCCTTGTCATGGATCTTGTAGTTCTTCTCTGCCAACAACATCTTTCTGGAGTAGAAAGCTACACAATGGCAAAGTCACTCGCATCCATTTCTAACCTTGTAGGGAGATGGTAATTGAAGTGCCTTAGCACTCCAGCTGTCATGAATGCCTGTATGAGCTTGTGGAAGGCCTGCTGAGCATCCTCTGGCAACTCAAACTTCTTGAAGCATTCAGTCAGCTTAACCAGTGAGGTTAAAGGCTTGGCGATTTGGGCAAAGTGAGCTATGAATTGCCAGTAGAAGTTGGCAAAGCCTAGGAACCTCTGGATGTCATGGATTGACTCCAGCATTGGCCATTGCTTGACAGTTTGCACCTTTTCTGGGTCCATCTCCACCCCAGTGGGCTTGATAATGTACCCTAAGAACTCAACCATAGTGGTGTGAAACTCGCACTTAGACAGCTTGGCAAACAGTTGATTACTTCTTAATCAAACAAGAACTTCTGTGACATGCCATACATGTGCTTCCTTGGTGTCACTGAAGATTAGGAAATCGTCCAAGTACACAACTACATATACTCCAATGATGTCCTGGAAGATGTTATTGATGAATGATTGGAAATGGGCCAGCACATTTGCCAGGCTGAATGGCATCACTAGGTACTCATAGAGTCCCAATTGTGTGCCAAACACTGTCTTCCATTTGTCTCCCTTCACAATGCAGATGAGATTGTATGCCACTTGCAGATCTAATTTGGTGTAGATCTTTGCCTTCCAAAGCAGGAACAGTTGCTCCTTGATGAGGGGTAACGGCGCCCAGTTCTTGACAGTGATCTCATTTAGGCCACAATAGTCCATGCACAGCCTGAGACCTCTGTCCTTTTTTGGCATGAAGAGCACTGGAGATCTTGCTGGGCTCTTTGACAGATGTATGAATCCTTTTGCAAGGTTCTTGTCCAAGTACTTCCTCAATTCGACCATTTCCTTGGGCCCCTTGAGGTACAATGGGCCCTGGGGCAGCCTGCTTCCTTCCATCAACTCAAGATGGAGATCATGCTCAGTATGATGGGGCAGCTTATCTGCTTCCACCTCATCAAACACATCTCACAGATGTTGATACAGCTTTGGTATGTCCTCCACCAATACCTTATTATCAATTTCCACCTCCATTTCAACCCCCTTGTTGGTGCTGGCAGGGACAAACCCAAAAGCTGGGAGTGATGAGGGTGGGGTCTCCAACAGCATGAACCCAATGGGTCCATCCTTGAGAGCTGCCTGTAGCAGTCATTCTGCTGAGATGAACTCATTCCCATTTAGGGTGGGGTACTTTGGCTTCTCACCATAGGTGCTGGCTGCAATTGATTTCCTTGAATTTGGTGATAGACTATTCTCTATGACAAATTTTTCCAACTCCCGATTTACAGTTGTTTTCACTGAATTTGGTTATAGATTACTTTCTATGACAAATTCTGCTGACTTCATGTGTAGACCCCCAGTTGCCACTGCTTCTGGTGGTCATTCCTGTTCCTGGGCCTTGAACTCTAGCTGGCCTGTTTCCCAATGTATAGTTGGCTTGAGCCTTCATAATTCAGTGAAACCCAAGATGAGGTCATAGTTGGCAGTGTCGGCCACTGAGACTTCTACTACTCCCAGGCTGTGCTTGCCAATAGTGACTTGTATCATTGCTGAACTGTTGATGGCAGGCTGGTGTCCAGTGACACCATGTATCGATCTTGTTTTTGTGGGTTTTGTGGGGATTTGGTACTTACTGATGAAAAAATCTGGGACTATAGACAAACCAGCACTGGTGTCAGCAAGTATGCAAGCCAGATGGTCTTGGACCATCCTGGATAGCTCTAATACTGCTTTTCCTCTGCTGGTAGAGAAACACAAGGGGCAATCTTGATATGTACATAAGGATGGCAATGAGGTTTGTAGGGCCATGCATGCCATTAGTGCATTGCCCCACTGATGTTTCCCTTGTCACTGTCATCTTGGACCTCTTCATGGCCAGTGTCCATTGGTGTCTGGCACTGGCTGAAGTCTAGGTCTTCGGGTTCACCCATCTCAGGTTTGCCCATCTGCTCATCTCCTGGGTCTGGGGCTCCTTCTTCGAGGAGATCCTCTGTGGTCGCCATGACCTTTGGTCCCATGTGTCATAGGATCGAATGCGCAGGAGGATCTGGAAGCATATGAGGAGTGGCGCAGGAATCGTCGGATCGGGCCGAACAAGGGTCCAAAAGCCGAACCCATCAACATTGGTAGTAGAGAGGTCCTACAACAGATCTTGCTCAGATTGGTAAGAGTGGGAGCTTATAACAAAAACCGCCAGAATCAGTAATATTGTGATCATACAACAGATCTCACTGAAACCAGCGAAAGGACATTGATATCATTGATGGGTGGCAATGACATCTGGGTCTGCCACCAATGAAGCAGGGGACCTGCCTGGCAAATGAGTCCAAGGGTGAGAGACAGGTTAGATGAAAAGGGGTACAAACTATTGCTCAGATGAGGTGGGAATTACCCCTATTGATGATGAGACGATGCGAAGATTGTCCATCTGCAGGAAGCATGAGACACAATGCTGATGAGCAGCATTGCAGGGTGGAAGGAGGAATAGTAAGGACGAGGAGGAGGAGGAGCAGTGCCGAAGAGACACCCAGAGGGGGGGGGGCACAATGTTGCGGGGCAACGTTGAGAGAGACAGTTATATAACCTCGCTCTTCGCCATAGCCGTTGAGTGGATCCCCATCCACTCTACACCATACAAACTAGTTATCACTTCTACTCAAGTATACATTAGTTTTCAGTCAGCAAAGTAGCAATCACAAGTAGATTGCTTCCATCATAGTGTGTGTGTTGTATCACTGCTCACTGACATCTGAAGGTGGTTCACAGCAAACCAGCAGTCTGGATAATGATAGAACCAAAGGCAGTTGTCCACTGCAGTCTGGGGATCACCTCAAGCACTCAGTTGACACACTGGACACTTGTGTCAGCACCACCAAACAATCTCATTCACACCAGACCTTGGTGCCAGTGTAAAGTTCATACAAGTTATCGATCATGCCAAGCTACCTCTGGATGGAGTGTCCACAGCAGTTAGTCAAAACCTGCAATAGCAAAATCTTCTTTGGGCGAGAAAAGTCATAGAGGCTTCTCTACTACATATCTCGACAAGAACAGTAATACATCACATGTTGTCACATATCTTGACAGGATTCGTAATAGACACGTTTCTATTACAGATATCAGGTTTTGGGCACGAGACCTCTGACACCATGGGTCATGGGCCCAAGGGGTCCAGCTTCTTGTTTGGACAATCTTTTGCCCAATGTCTGAGGCCTTTACACAGGTGGCAGGCATTGGTATGGGCCATTGGAGGGCCCTTCAGGCTTTGGTTCTGAACCAGCTGATGGGGCAAAAGCCGATTGGTTGGCCAGCCAGGGTTTCCTGTAGTGGCCTGTGCCGGCTGGCGAGCTGGGAGTGAACTCTGAGCTGGCATAGGCTGGGCTCCTGGGTTTGGTCACAGTGGAGTGGCACTTGGGTGCCTAGCAGCAGACTGCTGTAATAGCATCCTCTGCCAGTCGTTCTCTTTGACCTCTTGGTACCACTCCCACCTTTTCACAGGTGGGTTCCTCTCAAACTTCTCTTGCAGGCTGCATGTGAGGCTGCCTTGGAACAGATCCATGACTAGCTCATTGTCAACTAGATTGACTTGTCCTTCTAAGTCTCTGAAGTGTTTGACATGGTGGGTAGCAGCACCTGGTGCATCACTAGTGAGACGGAGAGCCAACAGCTTGTTGTAGGCCTCCATTCTAGCATTATGAGGATTGAACTGTTCTGCCAGGCACTCAGTAAAGTAGTGCCAGCCATGGAACAGTCTCCCTTCTTGTGCTTGGTTGATATGGAGCTTGGAGGCCCACCATTCACAAGCATTCCCTTCCAATTGAGCACTCATGTGGTTGATCATGCATGCTTGCTCATAGACCTGATTGAACTTGAACCAGGCTTTGGCTTCGAGTATGAAGATCTCCACATCTCTGGGGTTGAACTTGGGAAATGGTGTGGCAATTGGCTTTGATTGCAAGAGGTCAGGACCTCCTGTTGCACTAGCATCATCCTCTTGCTCCAGGCCATAAGGATCCATCCTAGGCTGGTTGTACAGGTCCACCCTGGGCTTGAAGTATTTGGGCCTGGTGGGGGAAGCATACTTCTCATAATTGACACTGGACTGCTTGTCCAAGTCAGTGAATGACACCAATTGCCTTGGTCACAATGCCAGGGTCAGTGTGGGCAGGTCTCCTATCATGGATTTGTCCCCTCCCACTTGATCTTCTGAGTGCAAGAGCTCAATTGTTTCTTCTTCACTCAGGTGAGCACAGCATAGGTGCTCCTCATGTTGACCTTGTCTGGTGAGCTCCACCTGAGCCTCCATTAGGGAGAGAAGCCTCTCAAGCTTGTTGTGCAGGCTCTCGTCCATCATGTTGATTGTGGGGTGCTGCTTAAATGATCCACTCTAATGTCAGAGGTCTTGTGCCTAAAACCTGATATCTGTAATAGAAATGTGTCTATTACAAATCCTGTTGAGATATGTGGTAACATGCTGTGTATTACTATTTCTGTCAAGGTATGTCATAGAGAAGCCTCTATGACTTTTCTTGCCCAAAGATGTAATAGGGGTTTTGCTATTGCAGGTTTTGACTGACCACTGTGGACACTCTGTCCAGAGGTAGCTTGGCACAATTGATAACTTGTATGAACTTTACACTGGCACCAAGGTCTGGTGTGAATGAGATTGTTTGGTGGTGCTGACATGAGTGTCCAGTGCATTGACTGAGTGCTTGAGGTGATCCCCAGACTGCAGTGGATGACTGCCTTCAGTTCTATCATTATCTGGACCACTGGTTTGCTATGAACTGCCTTCGGATGTCAGTGAGCAATGATACAACACACACACTATGATGGAAGCAATCTACTTGTGATTGCTACTTTGCTGACTGAAAACTAATGTATACTTGAGTAGAAGTGATAACTAGTTTGTATGGTGTAGAGTGGATGGGGATCCACTCAACGGCTATGGCGAAGAGTGAGGTTAGAATCGAGAAACATGTGTTTCTAAAAACACTTGAAAATTGATACCCCCTAAAAGCTTTTTAATGATCTGCATCTCACATATCCTTCTTTGGATCTTAAAGGCTTGATTGACTCTCTCACATGTCAATGCTGTTCGAGTGGAGTGACAGACTTGGATGGTAGGATGTGGTTTTATTGATGACAATGAACAGTATGTACAGAGGGATGGATACCAACCAATAATGAGCCAACTAAGTTTGGTGCTTTTATATGTCTTACCCTGTGGATGATTCAGTAACATATTGGAGTGAAAGAGGAGTCTGAACATGATGAGGCAGCATAAAGGTCCATACAGCAATAGAGCTCAGGTTCTATCTCCTGTTGGCCCTTATCTCCTCCTGATACAGTCATTGGACAGCCCGAGGTAGTTGACCTGATACAGTCAACAGATGGGCCGAAGTGTTTGGCTTGATACAAACATCGGTCAGCCCTGATGTCTGGCCTGATACGAGCTGATACTGTTGGAAGATTTAACTCTGATCAACACTTATTGGGAGATATCAGTCCAAGTATAGTGTTCAAGCTTTTGAGCTAAAACACTATACTATATTGACATAAGGGGGTATCAAAGTTTTTGCATTTTTAAAAACATGGGTTTTTTGAAGAGTGTGTTTTTCAAAAAAACACAAAAGCTTATATAAGCTGTGCAAAGGGAAAAAAAAACTGTGTTTTTAAAAACACAGGTCAGGAGACAGTATTGTGAAAACATGGAAGGGTTATCACTCCACATCTTCTCTCTGCTCCTCACTCTTGTCACTCTTTTGCTCACTCCCTCTTCCTTGCACTCTTTCAACATGACCTCCTCCACTGATGATTCTCATCACATCTCTGCAGAGTTGTTATGCCAGTCCACTACACCTACAATCTCTGCAACTCACATTGAAAATGTGCCTGCACTGTCTCAATCTGGTTCTACAAGCACTTCTGACATCCACACTTCCTGTCCAACTCAAGCCTCTAGATCTGCCACAGGCAAGAAGAACTTCACATGGTCAGGTGCCAATGTTCTTCACCTTGTCACAATCCTCTACAACAGCAAGTCCTACCAGTGCACTCTGCTGCCATCTTGAGAATCAGCTGAGAGTGATCCAGCCCTCAAACTTTGCATACATCCCATTTTTTGGGAGATCTCCAAGATGTTTTTCCCAGGTGCATCTGTCAATCCCAATTGCATCAAGGCCAAGCTGAGGTGGCTGCTAGAGACATACTACAGGGAGAAGAAGAAGCTTTCACTCACTGGAGCTGGTATGCTGCTGGAGGACATGGATGCATCCAACCTGGTAAGTTTTTGCAATCTTCCTTGCTTGCAATGGTATGCCTGAATGCTGATTCATACTTTCAAACAGTCCTACATATCTTGCATTGCCCTGTCAACAAAGTACACTTGGTTCAAAAAGATGCACAAGATGATGAATGGCCAATTCTATGCCAATCCCACAGCACTTATCACAACTCCCAGTCTTGACTTCACCAGTGATGACAAGGCTGACATGCCTTCCTACAGCTCAGCTGACATACCCATGGATCTTTCTGGAAGTGAGCCATATGATCATGGCACTCACAGCCATGGTTTGCCTCCTATTCTTGACTTGATGGAATCCACCAACCAACCCCCCCCCCCCCACTGCTGTTGCATCCACTTCTGGTGCATCCATTGCTGGCACTGGTGATGATGACATCTTTACCACACCTTTGCCTTCACCTTTGCAGGCTTGACCACCTTCCTCCACTGCTGGTGGCTTGGATGTCTTTGATTCCACCTCTTCTCAATCTTCAGCCCAGCTCTCTCCCAGCACCAAGCACAAGCAAGGTGCCCTTGATCACAAGTGCAACACACTTGCTGAAGCTTTCTATCATTCTTCCATTGATACCCTTCAGATCTGCCTGCAGCTTGAACAGGAACACACCAGATGCAAGAAAATACTGGAGGCTGAGCATACCAAGCATGAGGAGATGCACATGCAGCATGAGAGGGAGGAGAAAGAGTGTGATGAATGCATTCATGTGTGTGATCATGAAATGGTGATGGAGATGGTGTGCCTCCTTGCTTCTCAGGCCAGCAGTGAACAGGATGCTCATCAGAACACCAGCAACAACAACAACATGGACTCTTCATTCAATCTTCCTGTCCTGTAGCATTACATGTACCATCATCCAGTCTCAATGCAAAGTCATTTCTGAATGTTTTTCTGTAGAGTGCAAGTATGAGGTGAATAAAAATGATGTGCAGTGCAGTCAAGAAATGATGTGCAGCACAGTCACATAATGAGCTCCAAAGCATTTAAACAAAAATTTTTACTCTCACACCTCTTCCATTACTACCACCACTCAACTCTGCAACCTTTTGGCATCACTCTTGTTGCCATCCCCCCTCTCCATGCTCCCTCTCCAACCCCCTTCCTCCTTCCAGCCATGGTGCACTACAGCAACAAGCAAGTAATTCTCAATGACATTGTCTGCACTCTTGAGCTCTCTATACCTGTGGAGGTCATCCAAAACACTGACAGAGTGCAGCACTCCTGCAGCACTGACATTGACAACTTGGATGATGATGGTGACCCACTTCCACTCTCATGACACCTTGTCTGCTTGTGCACTTTCATATGAAAGCAAAGGTACATGATCACATGTTACACTCCTCTTGGCCACACTGATAAGCTTATCCACCTTCTCAACAGGTATGAATCAAGCAATCATAGGATGTATTGTGGACTTGTTCATATGTCCCCTGAAGCATTCAACAATCTTGCCATCTGACTCCAGCAAACAGAGGCTTTCCAGTGGAACTACAGCAGCTCAGCTGTGATGTCTCTCAACAGAGTGCAAGAGATCCTTTCAGTGGCTCTGTACAGACTAGGCCATTCTGGAAATGGAGGTGGTGAACATGACACTGCTTTGCAATGTGGCTGCAGTGTTGGGAGCATTGTTGGATACACCAATCACACAGTTGCTGGCCTCCTTGAGCTAAACAATGAGGTCATGCAGTTTGCTTTGGAGGGAGAGAGGCAACATGCTGCTGCCTGGGTGTGCAATACATCTGGGGTTGAAGAGTGAGGTAAAGGCTGGCTTGTGGTGGATGGCACACACATCCCTCTTGCCTGGAAGCCAGGAGTGCTCAGTTGAGAGCACTTCTGCTACAAAGGCTTCCACAGCATCAATGTAGTGTTGGTGATCCTGACACACTCACTGCAGATTGTCAAATCAGTTGTTGGACAGCCTGGCAGCATTCAGGATTCAAAGGTTTGGGCCTCAGGCAGCAACATCCTCAAGAAGCCTCACCTGTACCTTGATGAAGGTGAGTTCATCTGGGTTGATGGTGGATATGGCCATTCTGCCTTCAAAGTTGGACCATTCTCTCACATTGCTGCCAACAAGAGTCAAGACCTTTGACACTTCAACTACATACTCTCTCAAGTCCAAGTATGAGTTGAACATGCCATTGCATACCTGAAGAACTGCTTCCAGTGCCTTACAGGCTATCATGGTAACATCTACCATGTTGAGGACCACATCACTGCTGCCAAGACAATCCAAGCATGCATTGTTGCACACACCTTTGCAAGTCAATATGACCATCCTGCTGATATTGCCAACCTGCTGTTGCCCTCTTTCTCTGAGGATGAGGTGAATGAGGTTGTTCAAAGCCTCCAACTTGATGCCAGGGATACACAAGAGCTCAGGAGGACAAGATGCACAAATCAGCAGGGATACAAACTGGATCTTGCCACTGCAACACAAGGAATGTCACAGTATGCAGTGTCAAGACTTCAAAGTTCTGCTGCACATGATCTTCAAGAGGAAATGTTCTAGGTGCTGTTCAGATCCACTGGGTGCAATGAGGAAGACACTACTGCATTGTCTTGACATCATGAGAAGACTACTGTGGACTACAATGCCATGACTCAAAGTGCTTCAGCTTGGAGACAGGAGCAAGTCTTGACACAACCATTCTTGATCTGACAGGCACTCTCTCTTCTGCTGTTCAATACAACCCTTCTTACCACCATATGAAACATTACATTGAGTGCATTGTGTGAAGAGGAAAGCAAGATATAAGCAAGCAATGGGTGATAGCAATGAGAGCAGGACAAGTAACATATGCTCACTGTTAGGTTACATCTCTTATTGGCCATATGACTTCATCATGTTTTTGGAAACTCACATTTCCTTGGGGGGGTTCAAATTCCCTCCAAAAACGCGCTTTTCAAAAAACCCGCATTTTTAAAAAATGCAAAAACTTTGATACCCCCTATAAGGGAAGAACATAGCAGTAGCCTCAAGCTCTCCGCTCATTATCTACAGTACACACATAAACTGTCCCAAGATTTTACATGTCACCATACATCACTCTAATGCTCAATAGCTATAAGTTGTATTGCCACACTGTCTGATATTGTCTGAAAGTGCTGCTTCTTCTCTCCAAGACTGTGGAATTGATATTGACATTGACTAAAAAAATTGTGCTATGAAGAAGAGCCAAATTTTTTTTTATTGTGGGACAGTTTATGGAGCATGCTCCCAAATAGCAACACCACTCCATTCCTGACCTTGTGGGCTTTTGACTACAATGAAACTTGTAATGTAACTTGGTGGGCACCTTCATACACATTGAAAGTAGTGACATGGAAAGTTTCAGCTCAATCAGATGACTGTGAGTGATCCAGATGCACTTCCAGTCTGACACCATCATATCTATACCATCATGCCGAAAACCACCCCAGAGAAGTGCCAATTGGCACTCTTTCACCTCCAAAATTGAGAATCTACCTGTTCAGTTGCCGAGAAACTTGGTCTGAGCAAGTCTATGGTGTCTCACATCAGCAAAAGTGCCTCCACTGATGCTCCAAAGTCAAAGGGGGGCCAGCCAAGAAAACTCCAGCCTTGTCATGTTTGCTTCCTGGACCACTATTTCAAGCTCAATTCAATGTCCACAGTCAGGAAAGCATGTCATGCACTGCAGGAGATGTTTCACATCAAAGCATGCCCAATGACAGTAAGAAAAGCACTTCATTACTGTCATTACAAAGCATGAAGGTTAGTGAATAAACTGAAGCTACTCAAGAGGCATTACAAAGCATGTCTCAAATTTGTGAATGAGCACAAGGACATGACTGTTGAGGTTTGGAAGAAGGTGGTATGGTCTGATGAGATGAAGATCAACTTCTTTGGACTGGATGGGAAGCAGTTCTGTTGGATTAAGAATGCTGGCTTCAACAGCAAGCTTGTCAGGCCGATGATCAAGTTTGGCAGCAGCTCCATCATGATCTGGGGCTGTATGACATGGGAAGGGGTTGGAGGTATACACTTGGTGCTGGGATCAATGAATTCAGACCAATACATTGATATCCTGAATGACAAGCTTTTGAAAACAATCTCAGATTTGTGGCTTCAGCATGCATACACTGACATCATGTTTCAGCAAGACAATGACCCAAAACATATGTTGAAGAAGACAAAAACATGGTTGGAAGGCAATAGCATTAAGGTTATGCAATGGCCAGGGCAGTTGCTGGACTTGAACCCAATTGAACACCTCTGGCACCATCTCAAAATGCAACTTTCACAGTATAGTACAATTGCAAAGTCCAGGGATGAACTGCTCAAGAGATGCGAAGCTGAATGGACAGTGATCACTCCAGAGACATGTAGGATACTAATAGAGAGCATGCCAGACTGCATCAAGGCAGTTCTGAAGGCCAAAGGAGGGAATACAAAGTACTAAGGTGTTGTCAAGGAGCACTCCATAAACTGTCCCACAATAAAAAAAAAATTGGCTCTTCTTCATAGCACAATTTTTTTTAGTCAATGTCAATATCAATTCCACAGTCTTGGAGAGAAGAAGCAGCACTTTCAGACAATATCAGACAGTGTGGCAATACAACTTATAGCTATTGAGCATTAGAGTGATGTATCATGACATGTAAAATCTTGGGACAGTGTATGTGCATACTGTATATACATTTGTGGTTTGTGGCTGATTGTGGGATCATCCCAACTAATGAGGAAGTATGACACCGGATGGGACCCCAACGGTCCTCAAACTCCATCATATCGGTCCGCCCGATCTCCGATCAGATCGACTTTCCCCAACCCGTCATCAGATCGTGCCCAGCTGGACCGTTATCTTCAGCAGAAATTTGCAGCTCAGCCGGTAAAGAGAGACGGGTTCGGCGAATCACAAATAGAAACAAGGGTTGATTTCACAAGGCCGGTCTTCCAAGACCTTGCTTTCCGGAAGGCAAGGGAAGATGGGACGGTGTGATCGTGACTGAGTTGATCGGCGTCGAGGGACCTGCTGGGCAGTCAGGGTAGCTTTTCAGTGCTTGACCGTCATCTCGCATCTCGTTGCAGCCAAGCAAAGTCGCAGTGACAGCAGTGAATATAGTGACGGCTAGTTGCATGCATGAGTTGGCTGTCGGCAACGCCATCCACGATAAGCAGGAAAAAGGTGATGTGAGATCACAGCGGCGAAAACAAGAGAGAGGCATGGCAGTCACGGCAGGCACGGCGGCACGAAAGAAGCAAAGAGGGATTTTTGGCATTTCACACGCGTAATTGCGTCATATCAGTGTGGAAATCTACACTTTTTGGAGCTTCGATCCGCGTGTGAAATCTCATGCAGCGGCTGCGCACGGACGGGCATTCAGTCAGTGCAATAGCCTAGCCTTCCTCCACTCTGAACTGTGATTCCGAACGGCACAGCATAGAAAGACTGTAAATGGCGATGCGGCAAAATAGTGAGAGCGAGCGAAGCTGAGTTGTCTCATGAACGCTGTGCAGAACGTGGTTGAAACTTGGCCTTCCCCCTGTCGAGGGTTGAATTCCAGCCGCTGTCTGACTGTGATTGCGTTGCAGTTGTTGAGCCAAGGCTTTCATCCAAAGCAATCCCGCCATAGCCAGACACAACACTATTGAAAGCAGAGAAGATACAAATACTATCGTCACTTCTCAACTCACCATCATCATCAACCAAAACATATAATCCGTCCACACACACACACACACACGCACACACACGCACACGCACACATACACATACATCACCCTTCCACTACATAGTAAACATGTCGCAGATCCCCGGTACCAACAAGAACACCAACGACGTTTCCAAGGACGCTCAGAACCTTGGCAACGACGCCTCCAACAAGGCTTCGCAACTCGGCAACGACGTCTCCAACAAGGCTGGCGACCGTTCGTTCCCGGCTCAGGAGCATGGTGACTCGCTCACCAAGCAGGCCTCTGAACTTGCTTCCAGTAAGTTTCTCTCGCATGCAGCCATGCCTTATCGCGCTTCTGTGAAATCACATTATTGACACTTCTTCCTCCTTCTGTTCCGCTTTTGCTCTTCGCAGGCACCCTTGCCTACGTTCAGCAGACCGCAGGCTCCATCCTCGGCCAGGGTAAGGACCTCGCTCAGAACACCGCTGACCATACCAAGTCTGCCTCTAACGACGCCGCCGACCAGGCCTCCAAGACCACCGACCAGGCCGCCAAGGAAGGTCAGCAGTCCGCCGAACAGGCCAAGCAGTCCCTCATCGGCTTGACTAACCAGGCCCGTGACCTTGCCTCCCACACCCTCGACTCTGCCAACCAGTACATCAAGCCCGCTGAGGACAACGCTTCCGGTCTCGTCAACCAGGTCCGTGCTACCGCCGGCCACATTGTCGAGAACGTCTCGCACTTGATCGCTGCTGGTCAGCAGAAGGCCGGTGAAGTCGCTGACGAGGTCAGCAAGCAGGCTGGTCAGGCTCAGAAGAGTGCAAGCAACCTCGCTAGCGATGCCGCTGACACTGCTTCGCAGAAGGCTGGTGAGGCACAGAAGACCGCTCAGAACGCCGGTCAGCAGGCTAGCCAGGCTTTGAGCGACGCTGCTGCTCAGGCTAAGGGCGCTGTTCAGGGCGCTACTGGCTCCAAGTAAGTGCAGTAATGCACAGAAAGCTTTCGATTTCGATTTGATGTATGTAGTAGAACAGCCGTCGAGGAGGCGTGCGGTTTCATGATCTTCTCTATTGGATAGCAATATACCCTTGCAAAACATCTCTCAATGTGTGATTGCGTGTGATTCGGTTGTGCGCATGTTTACTGTTACCGATATCTAGGCAGTCTCGCGAACATTATGAGCGTCTGATATGAGCGTCCGACGACAGGTCCCGTGTGCAGTGAGCATGTGAGGCACTCCTCTGATGTGTGCAATCGCGTGGACAGCAACTGAGTTTTTTCGGAACACGGAGCTGTGGAGGCATGAGCCCTCTTTTTTTTTTTTTTTTGTTTTTTTTTTTTTTGTTTTTTTTTTTTGCTTCCCCCAACTCTCTCGCCATCATACGCACTCTTCCCTCCAGGTGGCTGGAGTCTGAGACGCTATGGCTTACTCGCAAGCACATCGACTACCCCTACCGTTCGAGCCATCATTGTCAAAACTGCATCCTGAGAGCCGCAACGTGTCCTTCGAAGTCGACCACTCAAAACTCAATCCAAAGTTTGAAGCATACAAGCTTGTTCAAGATGACCCCTCTTCCTCATCATATAGCGTACGATCATACGGATTGCCCAGTCGACCACCTCGTCTGACCGATCTATACCAATCCAGTCCTAGTGCAGACAGAAAGGAGGGTAAGCTGACGTTCGCAGGTCTGGGCTATAAGAAGACTAAGGAACGAGCTCTGCATCAAGTGCTTGTACCTTCGTCAGGCCGTAGAGACCAGACTGAGCCATTCGCAGCATACATCGATGCGAATAAATTTGTAGTGGTGCTCACTTATGATGCGGGTAGGGACAAGGTTGTTGGTCATCCAGTGCATCGTCTTTCAGGGGAGGAACAAAGATTGTCGTCGCTAGCGTCAGTATGGCCGACAGAGTGGGTGGCTTCGGGTGGTGGGACAGTGGTGCTGATCAGGCCTCAAAGTATCTTTGTTGGCGAGAACGGTGGCGTTCGATGGATCAGCGAAAGTGAGACAAAGTGGAGGCTACCACTCGTCGAGGACGCGGACAGGGGAGCTACAATCAAGGCGTGCAAGAGAATCGATGGTAAGGCGAGGCTGCTGATTCAGAGTACGAAGACAGTCGCAGCCTCTGTATCAGGAAAAGCAGGTATGCAGGGGCTTGGGTTCCAGAGTGGGGCCTCGCAGCAGACAAATGATTCGAAGGCAGCAAAGCCAGGATCCAGCCAAACTGTGTTCAAAGTGCAGCTGCTCGAGCTTGACGAGATGACAGAGAAGGAAGATGACGCGCAAGACACCAAGACTGCTGAACTGCTTTGGAGCATCGAAGGCGAGGAGCCACTGATAACGGCCACACTGGGAGAGCAGGAGGTGCTTCTTGGCTCAGAAGCTCCCTTCCACCAGCCAGAGGGCAAGCAGTTCCACGCAGGCAACGCCACAAATATGCCACAGCCCAACGAATCATTCCCAATAGCTGCACCAGCCGCTCAAACAACCACAGCATCGAGAGGCAGACGCAGAGCTCCGCACTTCTCATGGGCGCAAACATCCGACACAGTGACTATCGCCTTCACACTTCCATCATGGATCAACAAGTCTCACATCCGAGCGCACTTTTCGCTCGGCGCTCTCAGCCTCTCTTTTACTCAAGACGCGCTTGATCTCCTCGACGCTCCCTCTGCTTCTTCCGCGAAGATCACTGAGCTTGACACCGGAGCAGCAGCCGAGCAGAAGGATGAGGATAATCTGACACACGCAGCACGGATGATCGCATCAGGTCGATACGTGTCCCGCCCGACATGCGCCGAAATCGATCCAACGGGGAGTCTGTGGACAGTGGAGAGGGCGAGAGGGATGAGCGTGTTGACGCTACATTTGGAGAAGAAGCATGAAGGGACGCGGTGGATGCAGGTGTTTGCTAATCGTACAGGCAGCCAACCCTCACATCGCAACCGCATCACTGAAGTTGCAGAAGGAACCAACGTGAGCAACACACAACTGACCTTCAAGCAAGCCAAGGCCAACTTCGAACGCATGGCTACAGGACAGCACGTCGACCAGCAGCATAGCGAGGAAGAAGAAGACGATCCGGAGGACAACGAAGACGACGTACCTGAAACAATGGATCCTTCTGAGCTAATCAATATGCTCGAAGGCCTGCAAAAGTACACCGTCGAAGAAGAGTCCCCGGCAGGCAATGGGTACGGCTTGGATCGTACAGGCTTCAACCCTTCGAGTGGTGGCACAAGCCTTTCTTTGGACCAGCCCAGTCTGCTCAAAGACAATTTGGAAGAGGAAGACGCCAACGTAGGACGCAACTTTGTCGTCTCTTCCATCGCCCGCAACACCACCGGCAATACTCTGATCACATCTTCGAAGGACGAAGAGCTCACACTCCTAGCCACCACCCTTCCCTCTAACGGCCAGAACACAGCAGAGTGTGTTGTGGTTAAACACGATCTTGATGGTGCAATCTTCACCCGTTCTGGACAAAGATGGGAACACGTTGCTACAATGCCAGCGCTTGCATTTGTGCTTGCTTCCAAACACGATGCTCAACGAGTCTACATCCATCGACGTCCAGGTAGAGCTGGAGAAGAGGGGGAATACGTAGTATTGGCATTCGAGAGTGCACCTCGGGTCACTGGTTCAGGTAGTAGCGGTGAGACGAGAGGAGCTGGGAATCTTTTCTTGTACTATTCGCCGGCGTCAGACAACGCAAAACATGCGAGCTCGAGGGTGTTGAGGCTCGGTGCTACCACCGCTGATGAGACTGACGAAGGAGGAGAAAGTGCCAGTGGAGCGCTACTTGGCGTATGTGCCGTTCATCTCGGTCGGGATGAGGGACAAACACTCGTTGGTTTGTGCGAGAATAGGATGCTTCTGCTCCAAGGTCTGTTGTAGCTAGTCAAGAAAACATTTGTCTCTGTTGAAGGACGTGCGTCAAATGTCGATGATCACAAGTATCGATTGCGATAAGCAGCATAGCTAAGGACATGACGATCACTAGTGTATATATATGTGTCTTACGAGGACGATGAGACTGAGGCATAGTATGGAGATTACGGAGATACTGTGTGTTTCGGCTATCTATCAGCCGGCATGCCAATGCCGATTGCGGTAATCAATTCAGATAAAGTTGAAGAGCGTTGTTCTAAATCAATCAAATCGTGCGTCAAAGTCGATGATCACAGGTGTTGATTGCGATAATAGGAGCTTACTAACTACAAGATGATCAGGTTGTTTATATATATGTTTCAATGTCTATCGTATGCGTGTGTGATGCTTGGTATGATCAGGCCGACAGCATGAGCGAACTAGGAGAGACTACGTCGTTTATCTATCAACCGGTGTCTTAGTGTCCAAGGGTAGGTCTAAATAACGTGCTAAACCCGATGTGCAAGGTTGGTGATTGGATGTGGTGTCTCAGCGATTGGAGATTGCATACTCCCAGCGACAGCATACTCCGAGTGGTCGCATGCTTCTACGACGAGACACCACATGCTTCAACTGATAATGTGGTTTATATCCGAGTGAGGGAGGTTGGCGTTAAATGTGAGCTTGGAGTAGAAGTTACATACTCCCAAGAGGTCACATGCTTCAACTGTCCCCCTCACCAACTGAGCGACTGAGCGTGCTGAAGAAAACGATCCAGCAACGCACAAGAGGGGGTATCAAAGTTTTTGCATTTTTTAAAAATGCGGGTTTTTTGAAAAGCGCGTTTTTGGAGGGAATTAATTGAAGATAACAATTAGTATACGGCATTATCGGGGTCACGATCAGACTCCCTTTACCACAGCCGTATGTTCTATATAATACTACCATTTTATATAGTGTGGACCTAAATGACAAATGCATATATATATACTCTATTCGCCGCTATAGTCCTATCCGAGACAGGACGTGTTACTTCATTCATACTCCTGTGTTGCTATGATACTGGGTGCCACTAAGCTGTCGCCATGGCAACGATCGTGTATCTCATTCATGCTTCTCGCTTAAGTAAGCCTCCTGCACCTCAGTGTCTCGGCCGTGACACGTGCATCTTGCTTGAGATGCCGACGCATCTTCAACTGAATTTGAACCCCCCCAAGGAAATGTGAGTTTCCAAAAACATGATGAAGTCATATGGCCAATAAGAGATGTAACCTAACAGTGAGCATATGTTACTTGTCCTGCTCTCATTGCTATCACCCATTGCTTGCTTATATCTTGCTTTCCTCTTCACACAATGCACTCAATGTAATGTTTCATATGGTGGTAAGAAGGGTTGTATTGAACAGCAGAAGAGAGAGTGCCTGTCAGATCAAGAATGGTTGTGTCAAGACTTGCTCCTGTCTCCAAGCTGAAGCACTTTGAGTCATGGCATTGTAGTCCACAGTAGTCTTCTCATGATGTCAAGACAATGCAGTAGTGTCTTCCTCATTGCACCCAGTGGATCTGAACAGCACCTAGAACATTTCCTCTTGAAGATCATGTGCAGCAGAACTTTGAAGTCTTGACACTGCATACTGTGACATTCCTTGTGTTGCAGTGGCAAGATCCAGTTTGTATCCCTGCTGATTTGTGCATCTTGTCCTCCTGAGCTCTTGTGTATCCCTGGCATCAAGTTGGAGGCTTTGAACAACCTCATTCACCTCATCCTCAGAGAAAGAGGGCAACAGCAGGTTGGCAATATCAGCAGGATGGTCATATTGACTTGCAAAGGTGTGTGCAACAATGCATGCTTGGATTGTCTTGGCAGCAGTGATGTGGTCCTCAACATGGTAGATGTTACCATGATAGCCTGTAAGGCACTGGAAGCAGTTCTTCAGGTATGCAATGGCATGTTCAACTCATACTTGGACTTGAGAGAGTATGTAGTTGAAGTGTCAAAGGTCTTGACTCTTGTTGGCAGCAATGTGAGAGAATGGTCCAACTTTGAAGGCAGAATGGCCATATCCACCATCAACCCAGATGAACTCACCTTCATCAAGGTACAGGTGAGGCTTCTTGAGGATGTTGCTGCCTGAGGCCCAAACCTTTGAATCCTGAATGCTGCCAGGCTGTCCAACAACTGATTTGACAATCTGCAGTGAGTGTGTCAGGATCACCAACACTACATTGATGCTGTGGAAGCCTTTGTAGCAGAAGTGCTCTCAACTGAGCACTCCTGGCTTCCAGGCAAGAGGGATGTGTGTGCCATCCACCACAAGCCAGCCTTTACCTCACTCTTCAACCCCAGATGTATTGCACACCCAGGCAGCAGCATGTTGCCTCTCTCCCTCCAAAGCAAACTGCATGACCTCATTGTTTAGCTCAAGGAGGCCAGCAACTGTGTGATTGGTGTATCCAACAATGCTCCCAACACTGCAGCCACATTGCAAAGCAGTGTCATGTTCACCACCTCCATTTCCAGAATGGCCTAGTCTGTACAGAGCCACTGAAAGGATCTCTTGCACTCTGTTGAGAGACATCACAGCTGAGCTGCTGTAGTTCCACTGGAAAGCCTCTGTTTGCTGGAGTCAGATGGCAAGATTGTTGAATGCTTCAGGGGACATATGAACAAGTCCACAATACATCCTATGATTGCTTGATTCATACCTGTTGAGAAGGTGGATAAGCTTATCAGTGTGGCCAAGAGGAGTGTAACATGTGATCATGTACCTTTGCTTTCATATGAAAGTGCACAAGCAGACAAGGTGTCATGAGAGTGGAAGTGGGTCACCATCATCATCCAAGTTGTCAATGTCAGTGCTGCAGGAGTGCTGCACTCTGTCAGTGTTTTGGATGACCTCCACAGGTATAGAGAGCTCAAGAGTGCAGACAATGTCATTGAGAATTACTTGCTTGTTGCTGTAGTGCACCATGGCTGGAAGGAGGAAGGGGGTTGGAGAGGGAGCATGGAGAGGGGGGATGGCAACAAGAGTGATGCCAAAAGGTTGCAGAGTTGAGTGGTGGTAGTAATGGAAGAGGTGTGAGAGTAAAAATTTTTGTTTAAATGCTTTGGAGCTCATTATGTGACTGTGCTGCACATCATTTCTTGACTGCACTGCACATCATTTTTATTCACCTCATACTTGCACTCTACAGAAAAACATTCAGAAATGACTTTGCATTGAGACTGGATGATGGTACATGTAATGCTACAGGACAGGAAGATTGAATGAAGAGTCCATGTTGTTGTTGTTGCTGGTGTTCTGATGAGCATCCTGTTCACTGCTGGCCTGAGAAGCAAGGAGGCACACCATCTCCATCACCATTTCATGATCACACACATGAATGCATTCATCACACTCTTTCTCCTCCCTCTCATGCTGCATGTGCATCTCCTCATGCTTGGTATGCTCAGCCTCCAGTATTTTCTTGCATCTGGTGTGTTCCTGTTCAAGCTGCAGGCAGATCTGAAGGGTATCAATGGAAGAATGATAGAAAGCTTCAGCAAGTGTGTTGCACTTGTGATCAAGGGCACCTTGCTTGTGCTTGGTGCTGGGAGAGAGCTGGGCTGAAGATTGAGAAGAGGTGGAATCAAAGACATCCAAGCCACCAGCAGTGGAGGAAGGTGGTCAAGCCTGCAAAGGTGAAGGCAAAGGTGTGGTAAAGATGTCATCATCACCAGTGCCAGCAATGGATGCACCAGAAGTGGATGCAACAGCAGTGGGGGGGGGGGGGTTGGTTGGTGGATTCCATCAAGTCAAGAATAGGAGGCAAACCATGGCTGTGAGTGCCATGATCATATGGCTCACTTCCAGAAAGATCCATGGGTATGTCAGCTGAGCTGTAGGAAGGCATGTCAGCCTTGTCATCACTGGTGAAGTCAAGACTGGGAGTTGTGATAAGTGCTGTGGGATTGGCATAGAATTGGCCATTCATCATCTTGTGCATCTTTTTGAACCAAGTGTACTTTGTTGACAGGGCAATGCAAGATATGTAGGACTGTTTGAAAGTATGAATCAGCATTCAGGCATACCATTGCAAGCAAGGAAGATTGCAAAAACTTACCAGGTTGGATGCATCCATGTCCTCCAGCAGCATACCAGCTCCAGTGAGTGAAAGCTTCTTCTTCTCCCTGTAGTATGTCTCTAGCAGCCACCTCAGCTTGGCCTTGATGCAATTGGGATTGACAGATGCACCTGGGAAAAACATCTTGGAGATCTCCCAAAAAATGGGATGTATGCAAAGTTTGAGGGCTGGATCACTCTCAGCTGATTCTCAAGATGGCAGCAGAGTGCACTGGTAGGACTTGCTGTTGTAGAGGATTGTGACAAGGTGAAGAACATTGGCACCTGACCATGTGAAGTTCTTCTTGCCTGTGGCAGATCTAGAGGCTTGAGTTGGACAGGAAGTGTGGATGTCAGAAGTGCTTGTAGAACCAGATTGAGACAGTGCAGGCACATTTTCAATGTGAGTTGCAGAGATTGTAGGTGTAGTGGACTGGCATAACAACTCTGCAGAGATGTGATGAGAATCATCAGTGGAGGAGGTCATGTTGAAAGAGTGCAAGGAAGAGGGAGTGAGCAAAAGAGTGACAAGAGTGAGGAGCAGAGAGAAGATGTGGAGTGATAACCCTTCCATGTTTTCACAATACTGTCTCCTGACCTGTGTTTTTAAAAACACAGTTTTTTTTTCCCTTTGCACAGCTTATATAAGCTTTTGTGTTTTTTTGAAAAACACACTCTTCAAAAAACCCATGTTTTTAAAAATGCAAAAACTTTGATACCCCCTTATGTCAATATAGTATAGTGTTTTAGCTCAAAAGCTTGAACACTATACTTGGACTGATATCTCCCAATAAGTGTTGATCAGAGTTAAATCTTCCAACAGTATCAGCTCGTATCAGGCCAGACATCAGGGCTGACCGATGTTTGTATCAAGCCAAACACTTCGGCCCATCTGTTGACTGTATCAGGTCAACTACCTCGGGCTGTCCAATGACTGTATCAGGAGGAGATAAGGGCCAACAGGAGATAGAACCTGAGCTCTATTGCTGTATGGACCTTTATGCTGCCTCATCATGTTCAGACTCCTCTTTCACTCCAATATGTTACTGAATCATCCACAGGGTAAGACATATAAAAGCACCAAACTTAGTTGGCTCATTATTGGTTGGTATCCATCCCTCTGTACATACTGTTCATTGTCATCAATAAAACCACATCCTACCATCCAAGTCTGTCACTCCACTCGAACAGCATTGACATGTGAGAGAGTCAATCAAGCCTTTAAGATCCAAAGAAGGATATGTGAGATGCAGATCATTAAAAAGCTTTTAGGGGGTATCAATTTTCAAGTGTTTTTAGAAACACATGTTTCTCGATTCTAACCTCACTCTTCGCCATAGCCGTTGAGTGGATCCCCATCCACTCTACACCATACAAACTAGAGTACTCGATGAAGAAGGTACCCTCTGGAGAGAGAGCAAGAGCAGCGTCGCTGGTGACGCTGTGAAGAGGTATATAACCATACTTTCTCATCATCAAAGGTTGAGTGGATCCTCATCCACTCTACATACTATACTACTTACTCTATCTACTTACTCAGTTACATACCATTGCAATAGCAGTGCTCTTGCAATGACTCTCAATGTGTGTGTTGTATCACTGTTAGTTGACAACTGTAGGTGGTGTTCTTCAACACTAGTGGTCCAGTGCCCTTACTGTAGGTGGTATTTGTCAACACTTGTGGTCCAGTCCCTTACTGTAGGCAGTGTTGCTCGACACCTGCAGTCCAGTCGGTTATTGTAGGCAGTGATTCACACCTGCAGTCCAGTAACTCCCATCCTCTGTAGGTGATTAGCATATTGCAGTCCAGACAACATCCAAGAGCATTATCAACAGTACTATGAACACTCGTACTGTAGGAGAGGGTGTATCACCCACTCACCAATGAACAATGTTCATGCTGCACAACCTCTGAATGGAGTGTTCAAGGTGGTCAGTCAAGACTTACCAGGCAGTGACACTTGGTTACATTTAGGTGAAACATATCAAGTAGACCTTACTCAATCAAACTCAATAGCACCCCAAAACTAAGTCTCTGGCGTGCAACCGCTTACACACTCCTCCTCATATGACTTCTATTCTTCCTGCTTCTGCGCACCCGGTCCCATGACAGTAAGATGCTCCCACTCATGGGTGTGGAAGTTTGGGTCCTGATACTGGCGATCAGGGAGAGTCTAAGTACGATTTCACTGCTGCTAAAAGACAGAAATATATATACTCAATTGACTAAAGGAATGTGGTGAGAGCCTAGTGCTCTTGGCTTGATATATATACATTAGTGTGGCACATGCCAAGTGTGGGAGCATCCTTCTTCATGACCTAGCTTGACAACGAGCAGGACTGTGTTGTACCCAATCTCTGATGAGATTGGCTCGGCTTGATCTCTGATCAGATCGGCTCTGCGTCATCCTTCAGCGTCTCACTGGATCATAAACTTCAGCACCCCCTCTCGATCGAGTGCGCTCCATCGATCCTTAGTGACGAGACCCTTCAAATCGGTCGTCTAGATACGGACGCGAGCGCGCATGAAGCCTGACCTTTGTGCTCGAAGTGGACCACCACTCATGATCGCGCAACTTGAGTTTGTTAATGTTCATACGATGCGGCTCCTTGGATACAAGCATCCGGAAGGCGACATACTCTCCGTTGTGAGGCAGGCTCAGGTGCTGCTTCGGGATGGACGACATTACAGAATGCTTTGATCGCCATTCATCAGAGAGACTGTGTTCAGTCTTCTTTGTACGGAAGCCCTGCGACTCAAGCTGAGCGAGATCAATGCTGACAATGGGGACAGTGTTATCGACGTTGGTGCCTGACTTCTGAACACTAAGGTCCTTCCGAGAGATCACATGCCTGGGATACAGTGCCTTGTACGCTGCTTCCTTTGCACTCCATCTGGCTGCAAGGTACCGTTGGAACTTTAAGAGCTTCTGTGTGTTAAGGCTCTGCATAGCAGGTTGGGGGAGATCGCAATGGCCGAGCTGGTCACGGTGCTCGTAGGTGAAGCTGGTGCCTTGGCTTGTAAGAACGTTCACCTTGATGTTGTCCGGTAGAGTGAGTTGTATGTTGGGCTTGCTATCGCACGGCATAGAGTATACAATCGACTCCCCTACTACCTTGTGTACACATAGGCCAGGTCGAGTCATGATCGCTTCCATGCGTGAAGCAGGTAGCATCGAGATGGTTGAGCCAGGATCCATCAACAAATCAATTGGATCTGACAGAGCAGCTTCCAAAGCAGTAATGGTCCTCTGTTCCAAAGGCCAACGATTGCAACGAGGCCACTGAGTTGAATGTGGACGCCGCTGTGGAGGACGAGTTGCCTGCTGTGGCTGATCTCAAGTTAGATGGCTTTGACGTGTTGGTGTGAGTTGGCCTTCAGGTACACCTTCCGTTGGTGTACGTGACAGCCACCGCCTAGCGTTGTGAATCGTTCCCATCAGAGCACTGTTGCTCGTAGCCTTGCGCTCAGCAAT